ACGGATGCGGGTTCATCAAGAGTGCCACGAATCCCGATCTAATGCGTCGTTGCGCCTCCGCCGCTTGCTTGTCGCGCAGCAATGGATTGATACTCATGCTCCCCATAGTTTGTTAAGGGAAGCTATTAAATCATACTGTACATGAATCAATTGCAGCCCTATCTTTTACCTGCATTCTACTGCTGAGTGTCCTTGAGCCACTCGAATTCGAGAGTAAAATCAGCACCTACAGTATAAGCCATCCGAATATCCGGTTAGAATATACTACGTAGTTGACGCACTGCCCAACACTCACCGAAGTGGTAGAGCTCGTACTGCAGCAGGAGCAGAAGGGCAACGAAGAGATGCACCTGCACAGGACAAAGCTGCCTCTCGAGTACAAACGCGAGCTGGTACAGCGCAGAGAAGGAAAACCTGGTCTGCGAGAAGACGTTAAAGACGACGAATATGACGACTTCCAGTAGCCCAAACACCACAAGGTTTGAGAAAGCAGAGCCTCCCCATTGCGTATCGCTCTCCGGGTAATATTGAGCATTTGGCAGGTGCACGAGCGTGAACTTGTAAACTGCAAACACGAGCGGAACGACGCAGTCCACGTACTTCACCAACGCCCAGTACTCGCAATGAAACAACAGTTGCAGACCTTGCAGTGTTAGCATCTTTGATCGCTCTGGACGCCTACTTCCCTGTATATCTTTGGGAATAGCTGAAGGTTCGGCGCCTTCTAGAGCTGGTTCAGGCGCAGGGGCAATCGCAATGCGTTGGCTGGCTGGTTGGAGATACCGGTGATGCGGTCGCTGTAACCTAATCATTGTTGAGGATGTCGATGAGTCTGTCTGTCCGTAAACACCCGACTCTTCTAGCAAGCGGAGCAGGTTTGCTTGCGCTTGCGTTATCGGGTGAGGCAGGCACGACCACACTCGTGCACGTTGTAGCGAGTTGGCTTCATAATTCGTCGGGTCCTGGACGACTGCAGTCATCGTCGTGAGAAGCTCACTGTGAGTGTCCAACATGCTAATTCGGCGGCTGCTTTTGGTGCGGAGACGGATTTCAGAGGCGCGTCGGTCTTGCAGTGAGCCCATCAGGAGCTGGGCATTCGCGTGAATTTCTCGAAATTCCAGGAGCGACTGCCCCACGTCAGCCACGATGAACAGACCCGATAGATAGAGCGAACCGGACGTGTACATGCACACAGAGACGAAAAGTGTGCCAAAGAAGTCGACCGAGAAGGCGACGAACTCAGGAATACGAAGAGCGTACCACAAACTTCTTTGCTGCGAACTTCCAAAATGGTAAGACGATGACCACGACGCTCCGATACGACGACGGCACAAAGCTGTAGAGCACTTTGTAGATTGGGTACACACCGATAAACGTCATGTGAGCGAAGAAAAATCGGTTGAATCGGTCGCCCATTACCTTAAACGGTGAGCCATTTGCAAACAATGCGGGTCCCAGCACAATTCGTATCATTAATGGTGTGTAAATTCCAACGGGGACGGCTCCGAATTGCATCATGAAGGGGACCGGAAAGCCAATACAACTCGCTGCGAGAATGCACGTCCCCACATACGCAGCACCTACCAGCAGCGCCACAATGACCCGTTTGGCGAAAGTGAAATTGACACCGGGAACGAATGTGGGTGTTTGCCAGTTTCCACCAACACCGAGGACTATCTCTATCAAGAGTAGCCGCAGCCAGAAGACCCAATTGGCGGCCCATCCTTCCGATGGCGGCCTTAGTGGCAAAGACTCGAGGAATATAGCAACAATCAAAGCTGGTAATGGGGTGCAGAAGCACACCAACACCACTCGAAGTGGAGACGTGGTTTTGCAGTACAGATCCAGCTCTCGAGACGCTCGACCGAGTACGCGCCTTGGCGTCCGACTTGCATCTCGTTCCATTTCTCCTCGAGGCGCCTCCACGATGAAGTCCGAGCCCGCGCTGTGGTTCGATCCATTTTTCCGCGTGACTCTGATATCGCGTGGGCTTACGTAGCTAAAAGGTAAAATGGGCGGGTAACGAGACTGTGAGGAACATATTTGGATTCCTATCCTTACGTTTCTTAGACCAGGCTAGGGGATAGGCTGGTTAGTCCTATATGGATAACCTTATTTCCAGTAAGGAAACTAACCAGTAGATAGATAGTAAATTATAGTTAGGACCCGAGGACGAGGCCACGAGTCTGAGACAGTAGGCCGAGCTTACTTTCCATTTCGCTTCAGCGCGGTTCGACGGCTGCTTCTCGGAATCGTTGGCCCTCTGGTGGTAAACTGACTCGGGCATCTGCAGCACTGCATCGCCAGACACAGCCACGGCGGTTCGCTCTAATTCAATACCCGCCTCACCACGCCCTATTGTGGGCATGAACCAAACGCTCTATCGTGAGCAGCCCTACCGTGGGCACGAAATAATCGAGCGAAAAAATTCCCCCTCTGATTGAGTTGCTGTTTGGAAATCATAAGAATAGTGTTTTGAATATCGTTAAAAGTGACAAGGATCAATGCATGTAACAAGGATAAAGAATACTTATACTTACCCCAACCAAATTTGTTTACATGCTAGGAAATAGGATAATGTTGCTCTTTGCTTATTTGTTCTCCCGAAGTTCAACGCTGGTTATGAACCATCAATCACGTCAGTAAAAATTCGACGAAAGCAAACGCTCAGAAAATTCCTCTGCACAAATTGTCGTTCTCACTAGCCCCGATGGCTTTCAAGCAGGATTTCAAGGATGGTAAATGGCCGTTTGGTGCAAAAGGCAAGCCGGACGACGTTCCAGTTCCCATAGGAGCTGCCTGTGTCAAGATGAGTAAAACTCTCGAAGAACGCAGGCGAGTACTCTTTCGGTGGTCGAGCTGAGACTCTCCCACCTGTACCCGGCATTTTTGTCAACGAAATTGGCAGTATTCCACTGCCGCTGGACGAATCACAAGCCCAGAAGTTGATCACAAAATGTGAGAAGTCTCCGTTTGGTCACGGGATGAACACGAAGATGGACGAGAGCGTTCGCAAAAGCTGGCAACTCGCACCAGATCAAGTCGAGATCAAGAACCCACTTTGGCGGACTGGGATTGACGATTTGACTGAGATCATTGCCAGTCGACTAGGGTACAAGGGAGTGCCGCTCCAGTGTGTGCTCCATAAGCTGTTGGTGTATGGAGAAGGCGGGCATTTCGTCAAGCGTCAAGACACGGAGAAGGAGGACGGCATGATCACGACCTTGTGGTCCAGCCGCCCAGCGCGCACGAAGGAGGTGACCTGGTCGTGTATCGAAACGGAGAGATCGAGCATCGCCATGATTTGGGGAAGAGCAATGGCTCCGCCCCGTACTACTGTCACTACGCAGTGCACTATGCGGATGCGGAGCACGCGTTGGAGAACGTGTCGAAGGGGTATCGACTCGCATTGGTCTACTCCATTTCCTTGCCGGTGTCAATGCGGCATCTGAAGCGGGATCCGAGCCAGACAAGTAATGATCTATCTGATTTGATCAACGCTATTGCTGGAGAAGACGGATCGTTTGCGCTGTTGCTATCACACGAATATACAAAGAAGAGCATTGCGGATTTGGGCAGTGGAGCCCTTAAGGGAATTGATCGTGCGAGATTCCGGGAGCTTGAAGAAGCCAACCAAGTTGTGGCTGATGACAAGAAACTTCGGTTTTTCATTGCAAAGCTTGTTGTCAAGGTAGATAACACGCTTGGTGCGGGCGGTTGGCGACTTTACAACTATGAGGAATCTTTGCACTGGTACACTGCAAGCGGAGATGACCTCGGACACTGGAAGCCGCTGAATGAAAAGCTTAATTTTCTCAAACCAACTCTGGAAGGCCTATGGCAACAGTGAAGACGTGTATACGGGTAACGAGGGCCGATCAAGAGTACCAAATACTCTTGATTCGCAATCATTGCATGGCCAGCCAGTCGTCACTTGGAAAATCTCCTGAATCTCGTGTCCGCAGAGCTCGCTGTCGAGGAGCTGCTTTCTCGCAGACCGGTTGATGCTGCAACACTTCGAAGTTTCTTGACGCAGACGGTAGCACTTCCGTACGATTTTCCAGATCGTTTTGTGAGCTTCTGTTGGATGCTCTTGACGTGGACTTGGCTAAACGGTTCTTCAAAGAATATTGCCTGTACTTCGGAGATTTGGATGGAAACGAATCTATAGTTCCAGTGATGATCAAAGTTGCCAATTGGTTTGCCTGGAGTGACGTTGGCGAAGAACTACTTGACGTGCTAGGTAACGAAACCGACTTGTGCTACGTAACACCCGGGGAGTCCGGGATGGAGCTGCTCCTACAAGTGGCTGATGCGGTGGAAGACGCAGGAGCTCGAAAGAACCTCCTTGAAATGGCTGTTGACACAGATTGGAACTTGGGGAGTATTCAAACGGTTGAGCTGTTTTGGAAACATATTATTCTCCCTGGCGATACTGGTGTCTTCGAGTCGATGGCCGAGAAGATTATGAAGCAACAGCCAAGTGAGTTGAGTCCGTTCGACCAAGTATTCTCGAAGTATGTTGACAAGCGTGATCAAACGGGTAAGTTCAAAGTGCTGGAAGCGATTGCAACTAAGCGAATGGGGTGGCTGAAAGGAGAAAGCAAGAAGCTTGACAAGGTTGATAAGACTTTCTCTTGGGAAATGCCATTTGCAGATGAACCCGAGAATCCAGAAATTGAGGCATTTCTACGAGGACCAGAAGAGTCGATGACTACGGAGGGCAAGAAGAAGTTTACTGATTTCCATGACGCACAGTCATTTGCTGCTTTGTACAAGCGTTCTTTCAAACGCGGGGATATGTATGCGACATCATTCACCATGGAAGCTGTGAAAGGCGGCGAGGAACCATTTGTAAAGATCTCCAAGACACGCAAGTGGTTCGATGTCACTCAAACGAAGTTGGCTCAATACAGAGAAGAGCTAGCGCAGCTAACGGGTCACTTCAACGGACCACCGAAGAAAGTGCGCCATGACTAAAATGCAACGCTGGCGCAGCTTGGGCAAGCTTACGTCTCGCTTCACACACAAGATCAAGATCACGCAAGCACCACAGCCTACATAAATAAAAAGCTGTCGCGTGTTGGACTTGTTTTCTTTCCGCATCTTTACATGTTAATGGGAAAATAAAAAAAATCCTGAGAAGTAACTTTGACGCATACTACATCAGGATTGGTTAATGGCTCTCGTTACCTTTCCATCACTGGGAGCCATTGTGAATAAAGTGACTAAGCCTCGATCGTTTTGAGATTCTACCTCCCTTCATTTTATCTTTTCACCAAAGCAAACTCTTTCGCGCTAAACGTGGTGACGCTGTTTTGTGTGGTGGTTGGAGTTGCCGGATACGGGTTCCCTGTGGAAATTGACGGAAGCCTGTTGGTGGGTCAACTAAAGCAGAAAATCAAAGCGAATGAAGAGTCAATCGTGATCAAGTGCGCTGCTCATAAGATAAAGTTGTTCCTAGCCAAGAGAGGCGGAAAGTGGCTACCCGACGAAGATCCTGTCGCGGTGGAGCTACAGAAGGGGGAGATCAGCGAGGATGTTGGGGCGATGACATCGCAAGAGGAGATACTGCCGACGACGACCGTGAACGACTGGCTGTTTGACAAGAACGAAATGCCGGATCCATCCGCGGCTCAAATTCATGTGCTGGTGGTTGTTCCCAGGCCTGACATCGAGGCCGAGCCGTCGGCACGTAGTACTGTGCTCGGCCGACGCGAGCTAGCTGTTGCAGACCGAGCACATGAGGCAGCTTTGAAAAGGACGAAGCGCAATATTCCTTGTTCTGGACCGCTGCGCGCGACCGACTTACCCGTCCCATTAGACACGATCCCGGCTTTTCAACAGATCAAGGAGGGATTCTCGGCGTGCCGGGGTGAGCTATATTTGCTGTATGGGCCTCGTCAGTTTGGGAAAACTACCATTGCCGATGCCATCGCAGACTGGGTTGTCCAAGGTTTGCATGTTGAGTGCGTCTTTCATGAGCTGACTGCACATGACGTGGTTGAGCAGGCGAGATTCTGGAGAGAGTTGGGGAAGTCGGTGGACGAGCAGAGTTCATGCTCTGATGCCGATTGTCACGATTACGGGGGTGAACCTCGGCATCGCGAGGGGCGAGCCTTGGCCTTGCGGCCCGAGTTGTCGCTGGAAACGTAGCTTGAGAGGTAGCGCGCAAAACTAAGACTGAATATATTGGAGAAAGCTGTCCTGCTTGCCTATCATCGAGTCTAGCATAATTCAACTGGAAGTCGTCACTTGTTGGCATCTGCTTGAAGAACCCGGAAACAAATCGAGGAAGCCATCATTATGGCGAGCTGGCCGGAATGTACATCGGATAGCTGCCTGAGACACAGGGAACTCTGAGTTCCATGACACCGATTCGTTCATGGATTTATTTACGAAGTATGCAACCCGTAACCAGCAGTTCTGCCTGGTTCTAGACGAGATGGATCACCTCTTTGCCGACTCCGAATTGTTGACGGACTTCCTCCTTGTGCTTCGGAAGTGGAAGATGTCGACGAAACACTTTCGAGGCTTTCTCAATCTTTACAGCGCAAGATCATGGAGTATTCCGGTGGTGTTCGCTTCACTGATCCGATGCACGGTTGACTATGGCAGGTGGGGATACGACGAAACCGCGTGGGAGGCGTGGTTTCGTGAGCAGCAATTTGCCGAGTACATGTCGGAGTACAACCGTCCATACAAACGTCTACAGGATGATCTGCTAAAGTTGTCGGATGAAGACCGGGGAGTGCTGAAATACGCGCTCGAACGAATCGATGGATTGACGGCGGGGAGTGAGCATGGCGCTCAACTATTGTCAATGGGAGTCTTAGTCGATAGCGGCGATGGTAGGTTGGTCATTGCCTCCCCGATGATGCATCGACTGTGCACGGAGGCGCTCACTTCCGCCCGCATATCTCGATATTAGCTTCAACATGACAATCACTCTTTCATTATGTGCACCACGCCACGTAGGTTTCCTTGTGACAAGCGTGGCCCTCCTCATTCGCCGAGTGATCGAGTGGAGACCAAGGATGACAGGCGCCCCGTGTGTGACGCCGACGTGCGGCAAGAGCGGCTCGCTCGTGTGCCCGACGTGCAAGAAGCTGGGCATCCCGCCGGCCATGAGCACCTTTTGCTCGCAGGAGTGCTTCAAGGGCTACTGGTCCTCGCACAAGGCGCTGCACAAGATGTTCACGCAGGCGCTGGCCGAGGAGCAGGCGCGCGCCGAGAACGCGTCGCCCTTCGACGGCTTCGAGTTCACGGGCAAGCTGCGCCCCGGCGAGGTGTCGCCCATGAGCGACGTGCCCGAGCACATCCAGCGCCCCGACTACGCCGAGACGGGCATCCCCGTGTCGGAGCAGCAGGCCAGCAAGGCCATCCCCATCTACACGACCGAGCAGATCGCGGGCATCCGCGAGGCCTGTCGCCTCGGCCGCGAGGTGCTGGACATCGCCGGCAAGGCGCTGCGCCCCGGCGTCACCGGTGACGACATCGACAAGATCGTGCACCAGGCCTGCATGGAGCGCGGCTGCTACCCGTCGCCGCTCAACTACTACCACTTCCCCAAGTCGGTCTGCGTCTCGGTGAACGAGGTGATTTGCCACGGCATCCCGGACTCGCGACCGTTCGAGGACGGAGACATCGTCAACCTGGACGTGACGGTCTACAAGAACGGCTACCACGGCGACCTGAACGACACGTTCCTCGTGGGCAACGTGGACGAGGACGGCGTGCGCCTGGTCAAGACGGCCTTCGAGAGTCTGGCCGCCGCGGCCAAGCTGGTGCGCCCCGGCACCATGTTCCGTGAGCTGGGCAAGCACATTGCGGCGGTCGCCAATGCCGAGGACTTTTCCGTGGTCAAGACGTACTGCGGACACGGCATCGGCTCGCTGTTCCACTGCTCGCCCAACGTCCCGCACTACGCCAAGAACAAGGCGGTCGGAATTATGAAGCCTGGCATGATCTTCACGATTGAGCCCATGATCAACATGGGCACGTGGCGTGACAAGACCTGGCCTGACGACTGGACGGCCGTGACCGCTGACGGCATGCGCTCGGCGCAGTTCGAGCACACGTTCCTGGTGACGGAGACCGGCTACGAGATCCTGACTGCTCGTGAGAATGAGCCCGTGATGGAGTGGGACTTCTCCAAGGTGCACCGGCCGTAAGATGGAGATGACGGACGCGATGAGCGGCGAGGGTCAAGTGCAGCAAGATTGTGTAGCTCGAGTTCGAGCAAGACGCAGAGGCGTCGTTAGGGTAGATGGCAATCATGCTCGGGCTTTGATGCAAACTGCTAGTAATTTCTGGGTGTGGTAGAAGCTGTATATACAGTATTCAAACAAGCGAACTGAGATGCAACTTGCTTTCAACTTGAGCTTCCTGGACAAAAGCATATTCACGCGTGGGTATCGATTATTTTATTCTTGGGAAAACTATTATTGTATTGTATTGTGAACGTTAGTGCGCCTTTCGCTTAGGGAATAGGTAATACTATTAACACAGATTATTTACTGGAAGGTCACGAAAAACCGCCATTTGTCAAAAGTCTTTTAAATCCGTTAGGTCATTCTACATGGGGATAAATAGTTCTTCGGATAGCCCTGCGTGTGCTCTAAATGATAAGAAATTGCACTCGGGAGGAAGACCATTATTAAACGCAGAGCATGCTATGAAGTGCAACCACTCGACTGAAAATGCATGCCATCAGGTCGATTCTAAAAACAGCGCTCGTGCAACCCTTCAAACAACTAAGCTTCAGTATCAACAATGGGCTAAGTGGTGGTCTCATGGGTAGAAGAATAGGAATGCTACTGCTGCCTGAACTAGCAGCAACCAGAGCGTGAAAACGTGCTAGGACATGTTTTAGAGGCTTTCGAGGGCATCGTCAAATTTTGGGGTGGTTTGAGCCATTTACGGATTTAATTTTGATGAAACCAGCATAATTTGAAGTGACCTTCCAGTAAATAATCTGTGTTAAAATACCACTCATAGTTTGCTCATTTACTAAAATGCCACGATGGGTACACATCTTAACGTGAATAATTGCGTGCAACGCAACCTCGAACACGCACTATCGACCTAAGCAAGTTTGCGAACGCCACCTAAGCTGTCGGCTGGACGTAGCGGGTCCATCGAAATTATGTTTGTTGTGGCCAAGACAACGAACAGTGTAATGGACGCGATGGCGTGCGCACCATCGCAGCTTCTATCAATTCCGATAAATTCCTACGGGGTTGGGTGAAATGTACAGACGCAGTCAACACACCCAGAGCCAATCCGCCGGACTTCCTTCCGTGCAGCTAGATCGTCCGTACGACTTCCTGGTATCTACATCCGAGAACACTCGAAGTATCGTCACAAGCGATTGCACTTGATCCGCCACACCCCTAAAAGAATAAAGGGAAAACTATTAAAATGCTTCATGGGCGTCTCGTTTTGCTATCTCCCGCAATCTAAATGGGCTGACTAGGCTGTTGCGCTAGTTGTTGACGAGGAATCCAAATAGATGGTGGTTGGAAGCCACAAACCAAGGCAAAGATTGTTCGTGGATGATTCAATCGGATTCATGGAAGCGAAGGTAAGCTCGCGTTTGCACTTTCAAGACAGATTTTCCGTAGCTCCACGCCGCCCAGACTGTCATATTCTCAGCCCTGCTTTGATATGGACGGATAATACGGAACGTGCCAACTTGACAGTTTTGCGGGGCACTTACAATGAAGGAATTGCGTTTATTTGTTCACGTGAAATGACCGCTAGTGCGGCACCTGAAAACTTCCTGTGCCTTCCATTGGTTTCGGTCTACTTGACAGCCTCGGATTTCCTGTCATGCGACCCAGACGACGCTCCAAGATGTTATCCAATGGCATCGATACATTCGGGCAGTAGTAACACTCCATCATTCATCATGTCAAACTCGTCAGTGATGTTTTCTCTGAAAATTTTTGAACAGCGTTGCTGCAGCCCATTCGGCAATTTCCTTCACTTGCACCAAGAAGCTCCAGCGAGGACCAGTTAATTCAGCAAATGGCTTTCAAGCAGGACTTCAAGGATGTCAGATGACCTTTCGGTGGAGAGGGTGAGCCTGACGAAGTTCCAGTTCCCATAGGAGCTGCCTGTGTCAAGATGAGTGAAACTCTAGCAATTGCCGACGAGAACGCAGGCGAGTACTCTTTCGGTGGTCGAGCTGAGACTCTCCCACCTGCACCCGGCATTCTCGTCAACGAAATTGGCAATACACCACTACCGCTGGACGAACCACAAGCCCAGAAGCTGATCGCGAAATGTAAGAAGTCCCCGTTTGGTCACGGCATGGACACGAAGATGGACGAGAACATCCGCAAGAGCTGGCAACTGGCACCAGACCAAGTGGAGATCAAGAACCCACTTTGGCAGACTGGGATTGACGATTTGACTGAGATCATTGCCAGTCGACTGGGGTACAAGGGCGGGCCGCTCCAGTGTGTGCTCCATAAGCTGTTGGTGTATGAAGAGGGAGGACATTTCCTTAAGCACCAAGATACGGAGAAGGAGGACGGCATGATCACGACCTTGTGGTTCAGCCGCCCAGCACGCACGAGGGAGGTGACTTGGTGGTGTATCGAGACGGAAAGATCGAGCACCGCCATGATTTTGGGAGGAGCACCGGCTCCGCCCCGTTCTTCTGTCACTATGTTGTGCACTATGCGGATGCGGAGCACGCGTTGGAGAACGTGACGAAGGGGTTTCGCCTCGCTCTGGTCTACTCCATTTGCTTGCCGGTGTCAATGCGCCACCTCCATCGAGATCCGAACCGGACGCTTGGCGAGGATTTAGTCGATGTGATCAGTTCAATGGGGAAAGAAGACGAGTCGTTTGCGTTGCTGTTATCGCACGAGTACACCAAGAAGAACATTGGAGAGCTAGGCGCCGGAGCTCTGAAAGGAGTCGACAGCGCAAGATTCCGAGCGCTTGAAGAAGCCAACCAAGTTGTGGCTGACGACAAGAAACTCCGTTTCTTCATTGCCAAGCTGATATTGAAGGAAAACAACATGCTGGACGAAGAAGGTTGGCGACACTGTGGTCGTAACCAAGCTCTGCACTGGTACTCTATCAATGGAAAAGACGTCGGACACTGGGACGACTATACGCTAAAAGTATATCTGAATTTTCTCAACCCTGGAAAAGAAAGCTTTATCCAGCTCTGGAAAGCCTATGGAACCGCCGAAGATGTGTACACGGGCAATGATGGGCCCATTAAAAGCACCAGGTACTGCAGATTTGCAATTGTTGCGTGGCCAGCCAGTTTTCACCTTGAAAATCTCTTGAACCTCGTCTCTGAAGAGGTTGCCGTGGAGGAATTACTCTCTCGTCGACCAGTTGATGCTACGGTGCTACGAAACTTTCTTGACAAGGTCGGTGCTAGATATGCATGGGACTGGAGAGTTCCCAAGGTTTCAATCAGATTTTCACGATCTTTTTGTGAGCTTTTGCTGGATGTTGGTGATGTGGACCTGGCCAAGTTGTTCCTTTCGACCTATTGCCCCTATTTGGGAGGTCTCCACGCAAACGAAACTATACTTCCACTGATTGTTAAGATCGCCAATGCATTTGCATGGAGTGAAGTTGGTGGAGCGCTGCTCGACTTGTTGGGAACACGGCTTTCTTGCTCCAAGATGACGAAACACCAGGAGAGTCGGAGATGGAGCTGCTGCTTCAAGTTGCGGATATGGTGGAAGATGCAAGAGCTCAGCAAGATCTCATCAAACTGGCCACTGAAAAGAACTTAGAGTTGCGGAGTTCGAAGGTGATCGACATGTTCATGAAGCACATTCTCCTTCCTGCAGACGCTCAAACGTTTGAGCAGATTACCGGCAAGATTATGAAAAAGAAGCCGAAGAAGCTGGGCCTGTTCATTGAAGTGTTCTCAAAGTACGTCGACAGCAGTGACACAACGGGCAAGTTTGATGTGCTGGAGACGATTGCATCGGAGCGAATGGACTGGCTGAAGGAAGAAATCAGCCGACTTGACCAAGTCGACAAGACGTTCTCGTGGAAAATGCCATACGCAAAGGACTCGATACATCCACGAATTGCGGCGTTTCTGCAAGGGCCGAAGCGGTCGATGACTACGGAAGGCGTGGCGAAGTTTGCTGACCTCCACAAAGCGAAGGAATTTGTCTCTTATTACAGTTATAGGTATCGACGCAAGGCGTCCTTTAAAATGGTAGCTGCCCAAGGCAACGAGCCTTTTGTGACGATTACGAAGACGCGCGAATGGTTTGACCATGCCCAAAAGAAGTTGGTTCAATACAGAGAGGAGCTGGCGCAGCCGGGAGAGCAGTTCAAAGGAACGCCGAAGAAAGCGCGTCACGAATATCAAAGCGGTAACGAAAGGGAGGTCCGCTTTGGGGCGCAGTGAGGTTCAGCTGTGATCGTGGATAAGAACCTTTGGTGGCGCGCTCGAGTCCTGACTCTGGATTTTGCGTTAATCTCACAGGTCGTTAGAGCTGTGCCTGATAGTTTTCTGCACCTCAATCTTGCTATTCATGCCCAGGCAATGATAAATTCGTTTTACCTTAAAGAGGTTGTAAACGAGGCGATTGCCTTTGTGATGGTAATGGTTAATACCGTACTTCAATTCGAGTAGGAGCTATTCGGAATGCTCCAATGCACTGTATCGTTATCCTAGTGTTTCCCCGACGAACAGCATCGAATGCTTCGCTTTCAGCACATCGAGGGGCTGGATATTTGTCAACTTGTTTACATACGATGTCTTGAGGATACGTCGGCCACCCTGAGGCTGCTTCCGAAGAACCAGCCGAAGACGCTGCCGTACCGAGAAGAAAATCCCCATCCGTAAAGTGACTGCGACGAACTTGAACGAAGTCTCCGGAATCGTGTGTACGTGCATTTCAATGATTAAAATTACCGCATGCGGTAAGCTCTTGCCAACAACTTGCGACGTGTTTGTCATGTGGTCGCTCGCTAAAGGCGCTCAGTCAAGTTAACAAATCTCCCGTAAGAGCAGCACAGCATTTGGCAATTCCATCTGGACAAATGTCCAGCCAAACGATGCATTGTAAACACGCTGTCTCGCTGCTCCCCATTCCGAGTGCTTGGTTTTTCGGTGCAACTCCGCGATAGATCGATCGATCTTTGACCCGCTTAATCGATCATTCCTCAACTTGCCTTTCAACGCAACAACTCTCCGATTCAACTGAGTTCCAACCCAATGAAGTCCATCGCCTCGATCCCCGCTATCCTCGCTGCCTCCGTCCTGACCGCCTCCGCCGAAGTGGCGACGGACACCGTTTGGGGCTACCGCGCCAACGACCCCAGCATGGTGCACTCGTCCAAGTGGGCTGAGCACTGGGAGGCGTGCGGCGGAGTGCGCCAGTCGCCCATCGACATCAAGACGGTGGCCAAGTCGCCCGCGTGCCAGCCGAGCCCGATCAGCTTCAGCGGCTCATGCTCCCAGTACAACCTGACCGAGCCGCACGAGCCGCTCGAGGTGGACATCATCGGAGGCGACTGCGTTGCGACTGTGAATGACGCGGCGTACAACATGGCCCAGTTCCACCTGCACGCTCCGTCGGAGCACACTGTGGACGGCAAGGCCCACGACGCCGAGATCCACTTCGTGCACATGAGAAACAACAGTTCTGCGTTGATGGTCGTTGGCATCTTCCTCGACATCGCCCCCACGTCGGACGTCTGGCTGGGACCTCTTCTTGACGCGCTTGAGAACGTCAACTCGACGGAGCACCAGAACGAGGCTATCACGGTGGAGCTGTAAGTTGAGCTCTTTATGTCAGGGTGTATTGATGTCAAGCAACTCGACTAACATTTGTTTCTTTGCAGTGAGTCCTACTCAGAGCTCATCCAGAAGGCCAGCAAGACCGGCGGCATCTACAACTACCCGGGCAGCCTCACGACTCCGGGTTGCGATGAGACTGCGGACTGGTGGGTCGTGATGAACCCGATCCAGATCTCGTCGGCTGACTTCGACCGCCTTCACAAGGACCTGTTGGTGTACCACATCACGGACGACGGCAACAACGCGCGCCCTGTGCAGCCTCTCAACGGCCGCACTGTGACGCGCTACGACTAGAAGAGCAGTGTACCAAGTCTCGTACAATCTGCAAGGAGTCAAGCCCGCGAGTTTTGAGTACCCACGCACTCTTTCTTAGAGTAGTTTAAGAACATTCATTCAATGTTAGCAAGTCAGCAGACAAACGACACCATCAGCATGCGCTGCTATTGTAGTCTATCTGGTTTGATGCCATAACGGCACGAAGCTTCGACCCTCGCTTGTTTCCTCGGCCCTCCCTGGGTGACCTCATCGTAGCATTCTTCCAAAAGCTTTAACTCCGTGTTGTACTTCGCCAGTTTCTTTTCGTGCTCCATAAACCAGTCGGGTGTCTTGGTGATTGTCACGAAAGCGGTGCCGTCCTCCTCTGCAGCCTCCATCTCAGACGATGCCTCGACTTGCTCCTCCCGCATCCACTGAGCGGCGTAGTTTCTCGCATCTTGCAGGGTCTCAAATGTCTCGATACCTTTCGTCGTCATGGATTCCTCGGTGCCTTGGAGGAACGCTTCAACCTGAGCGTTATGTGGGAACTTTGCATTCGGCATCGCCCACGAGAACGGCTTCTTCAGCTCTTCAATCTGGCTCTTGAGCCACTCAACTCGAACTGCGATGACTGGCGCCACAACTTCGCACTTGTCGTCGCCTCTTTCAATGTAGCCAGCATTCTCCACGAAAGCTTCCATCACGGGACCAAGCTGACTCGGATCCATCGTCTTGAACTTAGTAGCCACCTTCTCAATCATTTGCTTGTCACCAGCTTGAATGAGCCACTTCCAGAGTAACGACACTATATTCGACTTCATGAGATGGTCCCAGGAAAGCTTCAGTGCTCTCTCGCTTGCGAGCTTCACGAGGGCCGTCGGAGCTGCCTCCTTTTCAAGTCCCAGCCCATCCACAATGTTCAAGAGCACCGCCATCGCTTTCCCATCATCTACGCCATCCAACCAGCGCGAAAGGATGGGGCCGATGTCGTCCCAAGCGAATTTGCGTACGATCGGGATCAGCGGAGCTGCGAGATTGAACCGATCCTTGTAAACGTTGATGAGGAAGAAATCAATCAGAGATAAGTCGCTCGCATCTACCACCAGCTCACTCAGCGTTCGGAAAAAGGTAGCGGACACTTCCTCCTGCTCCTTGTCCAACTCAACTTTGGCCAGCTCCCCGCAGTTTAGCAGCATCCACGGGCTTTTGAGATTGCAGACACTTGGCTGCAACCGTCAAGTTGCTTAACCGAAGAGCAGTCTTCACGCCTTGAGCTGCAGGCCAGGCTTTGATCGCATATCGAGAGTACTTGGTGTCCATGGTGCCCCCCTCGTTACCGAGGTAGCCAACCACAGAGCTGCTGCCCACAAACTTGCAAATGGTTCATGGCCGGGATTGAGGAAGTTCATACCAGAACTGGTGCTTCCACTGCCAATACTCTCACCCGTTGTAGAGTACCAACGAACGTTGTGCTCCCGACAACAGTCCTCCCAACCGCCAAGTTCGTAGCCATCTGGGCTATCGTACGCAATCTCGCAGGTTAGCAACAAAATGAAATACTGAAGCTGCTTGTGGCCTGGAACCGCGTCATTCGCTCCCTTCAGAGCGCTGAACCTCGCCGATCGATGCCTTTCAATGCTCCAACGCCAAGATCGCCAATAATTTTCTCAGTGTACTCGTGCTCTAGCAGCGGTAATGCCTATTACAGGTCATGAAGCGCTTTGGTCACGCGATTTGGTCACGTGACTTACACTAGTGTTGAATATGAGAAACCACTCAAGCACACTTTCAATCGATGAAGGATCACTTCTGGGACAGCCACACCCTCCACGATATCTAATTAGCTGTCCTGAAGCTGCTAACGCCGGGTTGAGCCAAAATTGGGGGCTTCTACACCGGCTATCGGCGAAGATAGCAGCTTCGAAGCGTCTGAAAATGAACCAGCATGCAGTACGACACGTCTAAAGCAGCCTAAAGCACTTTTGAGGCCTCACAAGGCGGGGCAGGCAGAGAACCAGATCCCAAGATGGCGTGACCAAAGGGCGTGACCAAATCGCTTCATGACCTATAATAGATTGTCCCCTAGCAGCAGCGCGAAAGATTCGTCCTCAGTGCCCATACCGGCAACAGCCTCAGCCAGCTCATCACTCATCAGCTTGTTAGAGCTCTTTTTCAGGTGAACCATCTTTGCTGGCAGGCAGAGCGAATAGACCACCACGAGTCGATATCCCTTGATCACTGTCTCCAATGAGTGCTCCGCGTCCGCGTAGTGCACACCATAATGGGGAAAGTAGCCAGCGCTACCATCAGCCTTGCCAAAGTCGTGGCGGTGCAGTGGCCTCCCGCCGCGATAGATGACCAGGTCTCCTCCTTCGTGCAGACTGGGTAACTGCACCACCAACGTGGCGATCATCCCGTCTTCTTTCTCAGTGTCTTGGTGCTTCACAAAGTGCCCTCCTTGTCCATAGATGAGCATTTTGTACAGCTGACAGCTTAGAGGAACGCCTTCGTACCCCAAACGTGGTGCAATGGTAGCGGTTATCTCCTCAATGCCGGTGTGCCACTGCCGGTTGTTGATTTCGACTTGGTCAGGCTCCAGTTGCCAGCTATTGCGTACATTCTTGTCCAGTTTTGTCTCAAACTTGTGTCCAAACGGAGATTTCTTGCTCTTGCCGATCAGGTTTGTAGCTTCTTCCTCAGTCAGTGGGACCGAGCCTGGCCCAACGTCTTTGACAACGAGACTGGGGACGATCGGCAACGTGTCGGCTCGACCTCCGAAAGAGTACTCGCCAGCCTGTCGATCCGCTCGAGCCAATAGTTTGCTGATTGTTTGACATTTTGCTCTATCCGGGGACTGGCACGACTTTGGACCTTCCTTCTCCACCGAACGGCCACTCCTGCTTCAGTGGACCAAGTTCACTATTCTCGTCGTCACTGAACGGGTAGTCGTACGCCATAGTCGTCGGCGACACTGAGCCCGTAATTGCACTCATGGTTTTTTAAAACGATTTAAAAATCGTTCACTACGGTGTCGCGAAGAATAGAAACTACGAATGCCAGTCTCCATCCATCAATCTATCCATTCACAAACAACCAATTCATCAACCAATTATTGATTCTCGTTTCCTCATGAATCACAAGCATCAAACACAAAGGCGGTAGCCATGTTCATGAGCAATTTAGCTTGTCAAGACAGCTCACACAACTGCAGACAGATCCGTGGCTGTACATCCTCTTCTCCTGATGTTCATGCAGGAAGATCTAGCTAAAGTTTAGAATTAACTTGTGTCCCTTTTGCTGTCTCCATCACGCTTCTGTGCTAGCCTTCCTGTTTGCTTTCTCACATTCGTCGAACAGGACGTCACAAAACGAAGCGGCATCCGAGACATCCTGCAACTTCCGAAAAACGTTGGTCCGTTTGATGTTTTCCAGCCTGTTCCAGCGTTCAAATAGCGACCGCTTGACGAACTCGGACGCCAACGAAAGCGTCTATATCGCCGGGTCTTCTGAGCTCGGAACGTAGTGACCGATACCGTGCTGCACCACCTTGGCCTCTGCTATGTTGAAAAGGCTTCCCATATTATCCTCATTTGGGAACTGGTCGATGAACCTCTCCATCTCTTTCTGCCGAGCTTTGGCAACATTCTCGTCCGTGGACAGACATTCACGAGCTACGCCACCAAAAATTCGGTAGCGCTGCTCGATCAGGTCCCCAATGCTTTCAGGGCCCTGAGTATCCGTCGTATCCGAATGAAAGTTGAGCACTTCAGCGGCAGTTTGGAGCTCGTCGAGATCCCACAATGGCATGAACAGCTTCGGACATGCTGGCCACTTCCGGAGAGTGTCAAACCACCTCTCACTTGGACTCGTGAAGCAGACCATTTGCGCAGCCCGTGGGATCTGATCGGGTGGGCCATCGCACAGGTACAGGAGCTTGTCCCCTGCTTCATCCACGGTTTCCAGGATGAGAGCATCCATTGCTGACTGGACATCCTTCACGACGGCCACTGCTTTGCCCTTTTTAAATACGACGACTTGGTCCTTGGTTGACGATCGTTCGGTTTTCGCGAACGAGGCAGTGATGATCGTGATGTCCTCGTTCTCGTAGCTGTAGCGCTCCAAGAAGTACGCGTAGAAGACAGACTTGCCGATCCCTGTGCCAAACACAAGCGGGTTTTAGCACAATCCATTGAGAACAATCGCTTGATTAAGACCCATAGGCCGCCTCACCTGGTGTCCCCGTGACCGTCACCACCTTAGCGTTCTCCACTTTGAGCAGGTAGACAACCAGAGCGTAATACTGAGCGTAGCACTTGCGTCTTGCGGACGTAGTAGCTTGTCTGCTTGCTGTCAAACTGCATGGGCAGCTTCTTGGGAAACTCCCTAGTCGTGGTCTCCACCCACCTGGGCGCAGCTCCGGCTTCCATTCTCTCAAGGTCTGGCGTTTCCACCCGCAGAAAATCGCAAGTGGGAGAATTCTCACCCATAGATACCGGTAGATGCAGACCGCAAGTGGGATAAAATGACTAGGGTGGCAAAATAAGAGGTGGTGAAAGAAAAAAACACACTTTGCTCCGTTTTTGAATAGGTTTTAAAACCATGAAAAACCCATAAGGGTGAGAACACCGCATTTCCTCCCTCCCTCCTTGACCGCGAGCATTTCCCAGCGGCGCTAGCGCCGAGGCAAGTGAGATAATGGAAGCCGGAGCTGCGCCCAGGTGGGTGGAGACCACGACTAGGGAGTTTCCCAAGAAGCTGCCCATGCAGTTTGACAGCAAGCAGACAAGCTACTACGTCCGCAAGACGCAAGTGCTACGCTCAGGGTTGTAAAAGTTGGTTTTTTGCTTAACCCCAGTGAGCCTGGCCGTAGGATAAAAGAAAGGATCAAAAGTTTAGCGCTTTTTACAGAAACGACTGCTGAAATACGAGTATCTGAAGCCACACACACAAAGCCTTTTCCTTCCTCTACAAGATACTAGTGTCCACTTGGTGTCTCTCATTGTCCATCATTGCGAAATTGCCGCATGAAAAGTGTCTCTAACAGCTTATCAAAAATCCAGATTTATCCGATCTGCTAGGATAAAAATCGCATTTAGACTTGAGCTGAGTATTAGTCTGAATACCTCTACAATTTTATGCTTCCATCGGTGGCTTTGTCAAATGCGACACGACCGATAAGATGGGAGACGCCTCCGATACAAACGCCAAGTCATTTTTATCCTACGGCGGCCTCGCTAGGATAAAACGGCCTGTGTGTGTGCCACATCAACAAAGGATTTGATCCTTTTTCGTAGGATAAATTTCACTGGGGTTAATGGAACAATGGAATATTGGGGCAACCCACCCACCCTACGCCAGCATATTTGGGTTTATCAGGTTTTATTTTTGCCTATAATGTAGAGTTACAGTGCAAATATTAGGACAAACAGTCCAATAGTTGGCCAAGGATAAATTATTTTATGATTTTGAGACCAAACGAGCCAATCAGAGGCCTATATTGTCGAATTTTATGAAAAATAGAAAACCCACCTACTTTCACCCAATCCCCCAGATAGATTCAATCACCCGCCCAACTTTGTCGAAAAAGGTGGGTTTTAAACCCCCCGCACTCGCGGGGGTTTTCGGGTCCTGGTTGCGACCAATATACTACTTGTTAAAGCTGTATACAACTTGTTAAGGAGATGCGTATTTGGTTTAAGTATTGCCTGCTACTAGTAATGGAGCATCTCAGTCGCGTTGCTCCGTTGAGTTGCTTCGGGGGTCGACACCCTGCAGTGGAGTCTCCACTTCAGGCCGACGTCCCCACCCTCTAATTGATCTTATCAATCACCATTACTATTTTTGTAGTGTAGTGAAGCAAACTTAGGGCTAAGGGCGTGTTCGCGACCGTTGCTATTTAGACTCTCAGTTTAACCCGTGCAGGTCATCAAACCAATAAGCAATTAGCAACACTGATGGAGCTGCACGATGAAGGCTTCATTATCAGCAAATAACGTTACTATCTATCGCGAGGTCAAGATAATCAACGGCAATTACACACCAGCAGCAAGAGAGCACTATTAATGATGCTGGACTATATCTCGCGAAACCCTAGATCACGGTTAACCGCAAGGGTGAGCTGCAGCACCAGCGGTTCAAGATCAATTAGTGGTAGCCGACAGCCCAAAGCAAAATACATGTAACAAGGGATAATTGTTGTTAAAGCTATAATATTCAGTTTCGATGTTCCAGCGTACTCAATACAGCATCTCGGCTCCCGATGACCGCCGTACTTCCTCTCTAGTGCTACATACCATATCACTTATACCATATCACTTACCGGTATTAATAACACAAATTAAAAATTGTTACACTATCGCAAGATTCTCTATTCTATCGGCAGCAAGTGGTTGCGAGGAGCACAGCCAAAGCAAACCCGCGCGGGGTGCCCGTGAAGCATGTCCGCGTAGGAGGGCCCAGCAACCAGCAGGGAAGTGAACGAACCCGTCGTTGCGGCTTGGAGCTCGTTCCGTAGTGTGGGGTGCGGGCCCCCAAGGTATAAGGAGACTACCTGCGTCACTGCCAGGAGCTATCTGTAGGCTACAGGCTGTAGCTTCACAGAGTATTGGACATGGTGAGCTTTGCGTAGCACGTATCCATGCAGGCAAGTTGAAGTGCACTCTCTTTTAGCAATTCTACCCTTCCCAGCACTAACTCACTCGTAGTAATGGATGCAAGCGCTAACTTGGCGCTCTAAATCAGAGTGAAGCCGAGGACTTGGTGGCGTTTTTTTTGCGCTCGGTGCGATCTAAAGTGTAGCAATTTATCTAAACCCGCGATTCGCTTCCCGATGCCTGTTTGATTAGCGTTTATCGTCGAGGCTAAATCGTGTCCCCACACTTTAATGGCATTGGCCCCTTCTCAGAAGGGGTCACTCCAGTTTTTACGCAGTTAAGCGTGTCTATGGATCAAGAGAGGGCTGTTCAACCGAGGTTTTTTGCGCAATTTTTGGCCCCGGGGAAGTGATTCTAGATGTAAACCCTAACCGTTCATGTCTCAGATTAAGAGAGGTAAGTAAAGAGAGGTAAGAAATACAGTAAAGAGGAGTGATAGATGATTATAAGTGGGGACTTCGTCCCCAATAAGTACGATGTACTTTATTGTAGTTGCACTGCCATGCACATACATGTTGTCAAATCCACCTACGGTGGCCCTTGCCCAGCCGACAGGGGGTATATCCTACGTCATGACTAGGCCTTTTTATTGGGACCGCGCAAAACACAGACAAAATCTCCAGACTATGTAAAATGCAATCATTGATTGCAAACCTAAACGTGTAAAAACTTAGCTGCGCTTCCTACAGCAAACGAAAATGCCCTTTCCTACTCCTCAGCCTCTTCCTCCTGCTCGGCCTCCTCGTTCTCCTGCTCCGCCTGCTTGGCCTCATCCTCATACTCTGGCACCTCCTCACTGCCTGCGTCTTGAACGCGACTGCCGCGGCGTTTCTTTCCAAGTGCGCGCATTTGAATGTCCCGACCGACGCGAGGGGGTGGCCGCTCCTCTCCGTTCTTCCACATATCGTGCCAAATTTGGTGGCATGTCAGCCGATTGCCGGGGTAGTGTTCGGGGCAGATGCGGTCACAAAGGTATACACTAACCATACGCACAAATAACCACAGTCAGCAACAATTCACTAGCCACGTGCCCACAAGACTTACCGTCTATTGCCCTCACTGCATGTTTCGCAATAGAAGCGTGTTGCTGGGCGCTCACCCACTTTTTTCTTGCGAATTGAGCAGACCTTGCATTGGTGCCGCGGCCGCTTGCGCACACCCTCGCGGGTCTGCACCCACTCTGGAAACTCAACAAGCTTGTGACGGCTTGGGTCTTGTCCCCTGGGGTTTGATGGCGGAGGCTGAGGACTCTATACATCAGCATTCGTAAGTGTTAGACACATATACATCATGTACAACATGTCTGATATAGCACATGTAGTATATACCTCATCGACCAAATCAGCATTCGTGACTTGTAGGAGCTGCGCCTGAAGTTCCTGGAAGAATTCAGCATGGTCTGGAGCTGGCTCGCCTCGCTGCTTCTTGTACTCTCGATAGACGATAAATGCATTGACCATCGCCATGTCCACAAGTCCCAGAAAGACAGTCTTGTAGAACGTTCGACAGCGCACCGATTGCTGCAGCGCTACTCGCTGCAGCCGCAATTGATCGTGAATGTCGACCCCACCCATCCAACGATGGTAGCCACGCATCGCAGACGGACAGGGAATGATGAGTCGTTCGCCACCAGGAATATGTCTCCCTACAGAATACCAGTGTTAGCATAAAGACTGAGTACAATTGAATAGCAACCAAAACTTACCACAGCTCTCAGTCGTAGTGCTGCTTCCTGTCGACAACAAATACACTGGGAGGCGGTCCCACCAGAGTATGGCCTGGAGTTGTGGGCAGCACTTTGCGACCGCGACAACGGCAGATCCACGCGCCACGTCTGCCGGTCGTGAGGCGTCCTTCGTAACCAGCGCTGGCAGAAAGCCCTTCTTGTTCGTCTGAATAGTGCCGATTGAGTACACATTGTGAGACAGCAACTGCAGCGCGAGCTGCACGGACGTGTAAACGCGATCCGTCACTACGGCATAGTAGACGCCAGTTTTTGGAGGAGGTAACACTTTGTGTAAATTCCGCAAGACCGCTGCAGGACCGGAGTTGGGGTCCGCCGAAAACTCTGTTGGAGATGCTCCGCCAAGTTCGTCTGCGTGTTGATCGGTCCCGCAATACACTTCAAGTCTAACATGTTGTATATACAACGCAATGACAGCACGACGTATAATACAACATGTGAGACTTAGTGGGAAAAAAATGCGCTCCCCGTATTGGAGAGCGCTCACAACGTACCGAAGACAATAGGCGGTGTCCGCGCAACACGTCATGAAGACCTTGGTGCCCCACTTGTGGGGTTTGTCCTTCATAAACTGCCGGGTGGCGTTGTAGCGGCTACGAGATGGAATCATGGCCTCGTCGAAAGCCAACACGGGCGGTACGTTGTAGCCGCGCGCAAACGTTTCTTGTAAAGCGTCCACGACTGAGCGGACCTTCCACGCCCGGTCCGTTTCCGCTTTTGCGTCCGTGTTGTCTGTGAAGTGGAGATTTTGCATAATCCGCCCAAAACGCGCCTTGGACATGTAGCGACCGAAGGTGCCTTTTGGTACAGCACCAACACCTTCTTTGGCCCAGTGATCAGCAAAACGGTGCTTGTGAGGGCATAGCATCCTCGCTATAAGCAGTCCAATACAGTGGAGCACGTCCTTGGCTTTGATTTTCTTGTGTTGCTTCGTTTCAGCTAGTAGCACCGAGTCTCTTGTCACATCGGCGTCCTGCGCTCCCTTCTTTTCGTACATCCGGTCGACACGCTCGTTCAAATGCTGATCGTAGTAGCGGTTGCTCTCGGATGCAATTTCAGCCAGAGCCTTCGAGGCATGAAGAAGAAGAATAACTCCAACGGGGATTCGGCCTTGTCCAGCACCTCATCGGTCGGGCCATAGTCACCAGAATACAACATGGGATACGTGTGGCGCGGCGCCTTTCCCAAATCCCGCGAGTAGAAACTTTCCCGGACTTCAATGTCTCATCTTCGGCCCAGAGTATTTTTTACGATCGCTGATTGGTTCGGACGGGTGTGCCAAAATGTTGGTACAATCTCAAGGTCTGCAGAATCCCGGAGTCTCGAGGTCTGGTCTACAAAACAAGAGCATGTTTTCGGGTACCCGGCACCCCTGAAAAGGACATTGCTGCGGTTAAGTTGATCCCGTTCCCAGAAGCACATGGGAATGCGTGCGATCCTTCCCTGAATCCTGGAATAAGGTGGAGTTCGGCACGAGTTATCGACCGGTATTCGGGGTGCTTTCCGGATTGCCCAAGATATTATCAAGATTGCCACTCTATGGAGCCTGCTATCCCGGACTTGCTTCCCACAAAACTCGAGAAGGCCTTCAACCAAGGTTCCTCCCAGACCCAGACTCAAGAATCACGGGAATCCCAAGACTCTCGCGATGATCTCATATCATCTCAAGATCTGAGGTTTACCCACGACGGCGACCCTTCAAGCTTCGATAAAAATCAGGACCAACACTCTGGAGAAAGATCCAGTAGTCAACCCAGCGACCAGGCGTCGCTGGAAAGATCGTCTTTGCATGTAGCCTTTAACCAAAACAGAGTTCGTTTTTCCCTCAAGTGCCGAAGTCGTGTTGGGCCGAAGCCCTGAGAGCGTTCTCCACCAAAAATTCAAAGTTCTTTAGGTAAGGGATCCATTGCGAAAGCCTGGGCGTGAACTTATCTATTCCATATTTCTGCACATACGCCGTGTTGGCTTGGTGTGTTATATATTGCGGGAGTAAGCGTATAGTGAGGCTCCTGAGAGCGATTTGTATCGGTATTAGGCTGTATAAGTCGATATTTGATTGAATTGCTGTTCTCCTCTTAGAGGAGTGGTGCGCGTCCACAAGACTGTCCAAGTATCTTGGGTTTGGACCCGAAGACTTGGAGATTTGGCCTTAGTCCTGGGCCTAGAGAAAGAAGAGAGGACAAGAAGTATCTGTGTGATTGTATATTGTGTTTAACTCTGTATATTTGGATTGAAGTGTTTGTTGGCGTTGACTGGTGTAGATTCTTGAGTCGCGGGGTTGATACTAATCGCCGATCAAAGAACCAACCGCAAGGGGATACACAAGCGTGCGCCTGACCAGCGGTGTGCTGATATTTCTCAAGCAGCTCACTGCGTGGACGATCCTAGCTCTCTAGCTCGTGGTCGTCTGCCTATCGAGTCACATTCTCGAGACTTGCTTTTGCTCTACCGATCGCAAAAGGCACTCGCGCCTCGTCACATACGACTCATCTCGGACAGGTTGAGTCGACGGGTCTAGAGGTATATACATCATAGGCAACGTCAGAACATGTTGTATATCATACATGGGTACAATCAACATACGTACCAAACTCCCAGCCGTCCGCCCTCATCTTTTCGAGCGCTTCCATATCCTGTGCAAGTACGCCCATTTCTTCCTTCATCAATTCATCCCAATTCGCGGTAGTCGTGTCCCAGTCGCGTGTCAATGTCGCCTTGGCAGCTCTGAGGCTAACTCGCGTCTCTCTCGGGCTCTTTGACGCGCGAGCAGAGCTACACCATCGAAAGCGTCATCGCTATCGGATAATGCAGCCTCCGTCGCGGATTCGACCGTCTCTGCTTTCGCAGACTCGCGAAGCTCAAGTTCGGCCTCCAACTCGGCGACCAGGTCCGTGTCAAAGTACCAATCTTCGGAATTAGCTCCATCACCGTCGAGGTCGGAATCGAACCCTCCACCTGAAGCTTCATCGGCCCCTCTTCAGCTTGGCTCGCTGCATTTGCTGTCGCCGAATCCGTAGAGTCCATACTAAGCGTCCTGCAAACATAATACATACCACGTCAATACAGCATTAGTTACAACAGAACATGTAGTATATACACCGTCTCCTCCTCGCATACCTTGACACTTGGCGTGCTGGCGTTGACTGCAACGACTCATCCACTGGAGATGCTGGGCCCGTCGGGGACGTACTGCCATGCGCGGATTCACACGGGTATGCACTACCAAACAAAACATATTAGACATCATGAGTTGAAACCAAACATGTTGTATAGACCCCGTAGGAAACGTACCCTGAGTTCTCCTGCAAGCTCTCGTCATCAGCCTCGTCGTCAACATTCTGCACGTGTGGACTGGTCTTCTTCAGCTTATTGGTCTTCTTCTGCTTCTTGGATGCAGCGGAGCTTGTGAGCGGCTTCCGCTTGCCTGGCGTAGACTCACTGGGCGAAGCACTACCAAACAAAACATATTAGACATCATAAGCGGAAACCAAACATGTTGTATAGACACTGTCGCTCACGTGCCCTGAGGAAGCCGTCTGCTTTCTCGACGCATCCTCCGCCCTCTTCTTCTTCAAGTCAGCTAAGGCTCGTTGACGCGCGTCGTGTCCTTCGCGCTCTTCCTGTGCAATGCGATCCCTCTGCTTCTTCTTTTCAGCAGAACGCTGAAGAGCAGCGGCTTCAGCACGAGCCACCGCCCTAGCTTCTTTCGCCTTCTTCTCCTCTCGGGCGATCTCAGCCATCCGCTTCTTCGTCATCTTGTCCTTCCCCTTTGCAGGGGCCTTCTTCGCTGGCTTCGCCTTCTTTGCTTGCGCTGTCTTCTCCGCGGCTTCGTCAGCCAGTGTGGCAGCCATGCGGTCAATGAGCATCTGGATGTACACGGTACCCAAAAGGCCAAGTGGTCATGCGACGACAAGTATATGTGTCTATTTCCCAGGGATCTGAAGTGCTTGCTTCCAGACCAGTTGCTGACAGAAACGACGCTAGACTACTTTGTTCATCGATACATGAAGCCAGCACCTGGTGTATTGTGCTTCGGTGGGACCGATCTTTATAGATCCATTGAGTTTGCATGCAGATCGAAAAAGTCGGCGATATGTGGAGAATTTGACTGGGCCGCCTATCCCTATGTCATTTTAATTGTCTCTGGTGTCAAACACTACAGTATTCTCGTCGTGGAAAATGCCATGCGAAATGGACCAACTGGAATGTTTCACGTCAACAGTCTGAAAGGTGCTTGTGACTCGTCTGACGACGTCTCCTATTGGCACCGTCTGCTGCCACAGTCTAGGGTATCCATGTAAGCTCCGAACGGTCATCGTATGAAGAATGGCCGTGCTTGCGTGTGTGTACGTGTGTGTACGTGTGCAGGACAGATTGAGTGCGTGTGTGTGTATGTGTCCGTCTGTGCGCGGTAGGGAGGTCCTTCATCAAGAGTAGGCTACACTACTCGATACCTCGCTATGCTGTGTGAGCATTGCGGTGGTTCCCGAGCGAAACAATGTGGGATTCATATCGCCTTTAAGGTGCGCGGTCTCACAGCCTGGAAGGTCAAACCGTCAACTGCTTGGCTTGACTTGTAGGAATGATAGCCAGACTGTCCACGCACCAAGTACTGGTACTCGTGGCTGGGTCCAGGTTTGGTCTGTGCGTTGCTGCCCTCGCGCGGGCAAAGCGCGGGATCGAGCAGGACACAAGACCAGATACAGGAGAAGGCTGAGAGCGCGGCGGAAACGGATAAAGCTTCGTGGGAAGGAAGGAAGCCCGTGCAAAAGTAGCCGTCCATAAACGACAAATAGTGACGCAGCACGAATACTGACGCAGCGAGTCGAGGCGAAACGCACAGGCTCCAGGAAACGGACTAGACTTGTCAGCGGTGGGATTTGAACCCACGAGTGCGAACACAGTAGAACTTGAGTCTACCCCCTTAGACCGCCCGGGCACACTGACGATAAAAATTACACTAACACCACAAAACAACACCCACCCAGGAACACAAAACAACAGTAAACGGCTGGTACATGGCATTGCGACGGTTAGCTGCGGATCTGGCGGTGAATGATCCGGATGTCCACGCCGCTAAGTACTCCTGGATCGAAGGCACAGTCGCCGTAGACGTCTCCTGTAGCTCCAAAATGGCGTTGCCGATTTTCTCCATGTAGTGCAGCACGTACAGCCCACAGTCGACGCAGTTAGACTGCTGCGGTTTGGTATCGAACACACGAGCGGTATACGTGCCCTGGGGTGTTAGATCCGGGTACTCGTGTCTTTCTTTAGCAAGGTGCCATCTCATCATGTTGAACACATACGCAGTCATGAGCACCTTTCAGACTGTTGACGTGAAACATTCCAGTTGGTCCATTTCGCATGGCATTTTCCACGACGAGAATACTGTAGTGTTTGACACCAGAGACAATTAAAATGACATAGGGATAGGCGGCCGAGTCAAATTCTCCACATATCGCCGACTTTTTCGATCTGCATGCAAACTCAATGGATCTATAAAGATCGGTCCCACCGAAGCACAATACACCAGGTGCTGGCTTCATGTATCGATGAACAAAGTAGTCTAGCGTCGTTTCTGTCAGCAACTGGTCTGGAAGCAAGCACTTCAGATCCCTGGGAAATAGACACATATACTTGTCGTCGCATGACCACTCCAACACCACTTGGCCTTTTGGGTACCGCTTCCTGAAGAAAATCTGCTTCTTTGGGCAAGCGGGTGCCTTCTTTCATGAGTATCGATCTCGAATAGACTATCATCCGAATCACTCGCACAACCACTGCTAGCAGCACTCTCATCACTGCTAACATTTCCAGTGCCACCAAACAAAAAATCATCATGACCGGAAAGCTCGTTCACGTTGTGTGCCGCACCTGCACCTTTCCTACGAGCGATTGGCACTTCACCAGGGACGCTTTCATCAACGCTGTGATCCCCGTTCTCGTCATTGTCATCTACTCGGGCATTTTGCGCGGCATTACCACCACTTCTTGCTGCACGAATTCGGTCTTTTCTCCCATGACCGCCCTTGTTAGCGCCGCTGTCCGATTTATCTCGATCGCCGTCCGTGTTAGCGCCTCTTATGTCCAATTTAGGGGCTCCTTTGTCTGATTTTGATCCATCACAGCCCGAATTAGCTCCGTCGCTGACCGAGTTAGCTCCGTCGCCGTCACCACCGCTCGAATTAACTCCACCACTTTCCGCATTACCTCCACCGCCGTCCGAATTAGCTCCATCGCCGTCACCTCCGTCCAAATTAGCTCCACCATCGCCCGAATTAGCTCCGTTGCCGTCCAAATTAGCTCCGTCGCCGTCCGAATTAGCTCCATCGCCGCCAGAATGGGTTTTAACTCCGCCAGGTACTTCGCCATCTTGGGAATCCAACTGTTTGGAGTAGTGCTTGATAAAGCGATCAACCCATGATTTCTGGCCACTGAGTTCCGGAAAATCTCTCATGAAATCATCAATGTTCTGGCAGTAAAACAGCATATCCCCAAAACGGCACTTGCCTTCCTCGCGCAAGCTAACGAAGTAATCAACAACTCGGTCTTCGTACGGTTTTAGCTTGCGACGCGGACCGGGGCCATTTCCTTTCTTCCGCTTCCGCTTAGAGCCCTCAATGCTGTCCAAACGGTGCCAATAAAGCTTTTTCCATCCGCGCAGCGTCGGCTCCTTCACTTTAAGCCGTCGTGATGCCTCGTGGATGTCCCGTGACGGGTTGTCTCTCCACTCCTTCAGTAGCTCAATCTTCTCTTGCTCCGTCCGATTGACGCACTTGCGTTTGCTCATCTTGAGCCCGCTTTTCAAGCCAGACGCAAAGTGAGCTCGTAAAGGAGATCGCTAGGGGGCGGTCTCTGTGCCACACATTTTGAGAATCAGGTTGGCTCAGAATCTGACTCAGATGCAAATCCCATATTAACTCGCACAGATAATGTAAAACTGGCCGTGTTTCATATTATCTCGCGCGAGATAATGCGAATCTACTCGAATTTCATTTTAACTCGTGTTTCATATTAACTCGCGCGAGATAATGTGAAACTGCCTGGGTTTCGTATGAACTCGCGAAACTGCGCGTAACTTAAGGCTTTAGGGTGCACTATTGACAACCAAACACAAGTCAAGCAATATGGAGATGAATCCTGTAGTTTGCCCGTAGTATTCACACCTATTCAAGTCGACATCGGCGTCTTCGGATGCGTTCTGATTAGCCCCGGATGGCAAGGATCTGATTTAGATGACTCGGGGCGGGGTCGCGAATATTTCCGGCGTTGACACGAGCATAGTACGCTTTGATCTTCGAGTCCAGTTTGCCAGCACGATGAAGCTCACGGAGGACCTTCAAAACGGACGAACCCTGCTTCCGAGTCACTCCATGATCTTCAAAGCACTGATACAAGTTCGTCTGCGCTTCTTGGCCGATACGCATCACGGCGTCCGAGTAGGTCTCAGAGGTTGGGTCCAACGCGAACCCAGTTGGAAGAAACAGCTTCATGTAGTTCGTGATTTGCTTGTATATGGACTTCTTTTGTCGTGATTCGCACACTTCCCAGAGCTTGGAGGTCTTAGCGTACCACTCGAACCAGATTGCTTGTGGAGATTTTGGAGAGGCCTTTGAGCCGCATGAATTTGCTTTCGCTGTGCTTTGTTCCGGGTATACATCTTTCGGGACCGCGCTTGTGTCAGTTGAGGGATCCTTGCCGCGCTGGTCACCACATTCGACAGTCGCAAGCCGCACCTCCATTTCACTGAGCCGCTTCGTCAGCTCTTGGTTCATCGAAACCAACTCGCCAATAACACAGTTTTGGTGGTTGATTAACCGTTCCTCCTTCGAGAACTCAGGAGCATTATCCGCCACTGTACTCTGGGATTTCAGGGTAACCGCCTGCTGAAGTTCCGAGCTCCACGCCAAAACTTGAGCCTTAGAAATACCAAGTGCCAACAGACACTGACGCATTCTAGTGACGTAGGGGCACATTGGATATCGATCCAAAATTTCTGGAAACCGCTGGATTAGGGCGGCGACAAGGACATCAGCCACTCTGTCATTCAGGCGCTTTTCAGGGTCTTGAGTATTCAGGCTCGTTTGGAAGAGTAGAGCAGCGAGGGACAGAGCTTGACTCTTTGTAGCCGAATCAAACCACGACAGCATCGGGACAGGTGGTTTCTGGCATGAGTCCCACCCACTCAACACCCTGGAAACCTTTTGGTCTTCGCTCGTCGTGTTAAAGACATAGGAAAATGCCTTATTCGTGGCCGTCATGTTCCACGATCCCCGATCAAAAATCCACTGCGCACAAAGTGACGGATCACTGTTGGCATGCTGAGCGCCGCCTCGCCTAAAGGAGTGTGAGGAAAGGTTGGGCGTTGGCTTAGCTCTTGCCTGTGCTTTCGATGCAGCCTTGACGACGCGGTTCACGTATCCGTGAATCTTCAAGCTGTTTTTTGTTTCCGGTTCTCATCACCGCGAGAGTCATCACATGCATCGCTAAGCGAGCAGCAAGCCAGAGCCTCTACTAGCGGTACGTCGTCTGGAGCAGCCAACTTCTCGGCGCTACCATCAAACAACTGAGGATGCTCCAAGACTTGAGACGATGGGAAATCTTGCATCACGAGTGTCATCGCTACAGCGTGCAGAGGGCAGGTAATAAAGCTGTCCTTCTCGGGGAATATGGAGAGAACTTGCTCTTCAGAGGTCATCACACGTATCAGCCGGACGAAAATGACGCCGTCGGCGATGACGGACAGGCTACTCTTAGCCACAAAACCGAGGTCTGAAGCCCTCCCAAACGTGTACCACATCAGCGCAAGCAGTGCAGCGTCCTGGTAGTCCTTAGAACTTGCAGCGTCATAATAGATTCCATCCATATGGGAGGTACGCTGCTGTGTCGGTACATCTTTCGCAGCGCCAACAGGGAAAGAAAAGGGCCGGAGCAAACAAGCGTGGAGGTGTGATTTGGTAGAGTGGTGGGCTGTGTCGTGTGAGTACGTAAATTGGTATGGTGTAGAGCAAGCTTGTGGGAGAGCCTGTGTCGCGCTGGAGGGGGTCAGCGTGGTGGCAGTGGTGCGGCGTGCGTGCGAGGGTGTTCGTTCTGTGTAGTAGTAGTGTTGTTTTGTGTTCCTGGGTGGGTGTTGTTTTGTGGTGTTAGTGTAATTTTTATCGTCAGTGTGCCCGGGCGGTCTAAGGGGGTAGACTCAAGTTCTACTGTGTTCGCACTCGTGGGTTCAAATCCCACCGCTGACAAGTCTAGTCCGTTTCCTGGAGCCTGTGCGTTTCGCCTCGACTCGCTGCGTCAGTATTCGTGCTGCGTCACTATTTGTCGTTTATGGACGGCTACTTTTGCACGGGCTTCCTTCCTTCCCACGAAGCTTTATCCGTTTCCGCCGCGCTCTCAGCCTTCTCCTGTATCTGGTCTTGTGTCCTGCTCGATCCCGCGCTTTGCCCGCGCGAGGGCAGCAACGCACAGACCAAACCTGGACCCAGCCACGAGTACCAGTACTTGGTGCGTGGACAGTCTGGCTATCATTCCTACAAGGCAAGCCAAGCAGTTGACGGTTTGACCTTCCAGGCTGTGAGACCGCGCACCTTAAAGGCGATATGAATCCCACATTGTTTCGCTCGGGAACCACCGCAATGCTCACACAGCATAGCGAGGTATCGAGTAGTGTAGCCTACTCTTGATGAAGGACCTCCCTACCGCGCACAGACGGACACATACACACACACGCACTCAATCTGTCCTGCACACGTACACACACGTACACACACGCAAGCACGGCCATTCTTCATACGATGACCGTTCGGAGCTTACATGGATACCCTAGACTGTGGCAGCAGACGGTGCCAATAGGAGACGTCGTCTCAGTAGGACGCAATCAAGTATCCCACAGCTGTGGGATACCAGCGTCGGCATGGGAGGTACGCTGCTGTGTCGGTACATCTTTCGCAGCGCCAACAGGGAAAGAAAAGGGCCGGAGCAAACAAGCGTGGAGGTGTGATTTGGTAGAGTGGTGGGCTGTGTCGTGTGAGTACGTAAATTGGTATGGTGTAGAGCAAGCTTGTGGGAGAGCCTGTGTCGCGCTGGAGGGGGTCAGCGTGGTGGCAGTGGTGCGGCGTGCGTGCGAGGGTGTTCGTTCTGTGTAGTAGTAGTGTTGTTTTGTGTTCCTGGGTGGGTGTTGTTTTGTGGTGTTAGTGTAATTTTTATCGTCAGTGTGCCCGAGCGGTCTAAGGGGGTAGACTCAAGTTCTACTGTGTTCGCACTCGTGGGTTCAAATCCCACCGCTGACATGTCTAGTCCGTTTCCTGGAGCCTGTGCGTTTCGCCTCGACTCGCTGCGTCAGTATTCGTGCTGCGTCACTATTTGTCGTTTATGGACGGCTACTTTTGCACGGGCTTCCTTCCTTCCCACGAAGCTTTATCCGTTTCCGCCGCGCTCTCAGCCTTCTCCTGTATCTGGTCTTGTGTCCTGCTCGATCCCGCGCTTTGCCCGCGCGAGGGCAGCAACGCACAGACCAAACCTGGACCCAGCCACGAGTACCAGTACTTGGTGCGTGGACAGTCTGGCTATCATTCCTACAAGTCAAGCCAAGCAGTTGACGGTTTGACCTTCCAGGCTGTGAGACCGCGCACCTTAAAGGCGATATGAATCCCACATTGTTTCGCTCGGGAACCACCGCAATGCTCACACAGCATAGCGAGGTATCGAGTAGTGTAGCCTACTCTTGATGAAGGACCTCCCTACCGCGCACAGACGGACACATACACACACACGCACTCAATCTGTCCTGCACACGTACACACACGTACACACACGCAAGCACGGCCATTCTTCATACGATGACCGTTCGGAGCTTACATGGATACCCTAGACTGTGGCAGCAGACGGTGCCAATAGGAGACGTCGTCTCAGTAGGACGCAATCAAGTATCCCACAGCTGTGGGATACCAGCGTCGGCATGGGAGGTACGCTGCTGTGTCGGTACATCTTTCGCAGCGCCAACAGGGAAAGAAAAGGGCCGGAGCAAACAAGCGTGGAGGTGTGATTTGGTAGAGTGGTGGGCTGTGTCGTGTGAGTACGTAAATTGGTATGGTGTAGAGCAAGCTTGTGGGAGAGCCTGTGTCGCGCTGGAGGAGATCAGCGTGGTGGCAGTGGTGCGGCGTGCGTGCGAGGGTGTTCGTTCTGTGTAGTAGTAGTGTTGTTTTGTGTTCCTGGGTGGGTGTTGTTTTGTGGTGTTAGTGTAATTTTTATCGTCAGTGTGCCCGAGCGGTCTAAGGGGGTAGACTCAAGTTCTACTGTGTTCGCACTCGTGGGTTCAAATCCCACCGCTGACAAGTCTAGTCCGTTTCCTGGAGCCTGTGCGTTTCGCCTCGACTCGCTGCGTCAGTATTCGTGCTGCGTCACTATTTGTCGTTTATGGACGGCTACTTTTGCACGGGCTTCCTTCCTTCCCACGAAGCTTTATCCGTTTCCGCCGCGCTCTCAGCCTTCTCCTGTATCTGGTCTTGTGTCCTGCTCGATCCCGCGCTTTGCCCGCGCGAGGGCAGCAACGCACACACCAAACCTGGACCCAGCCACGAGTACCAGTACTTGGTGCGTGGACAGTCTGGCTATCATTCCTACAAGTCAAGCCAAGCAGTTGACGGTTTGACCTTCCAGGCTGTGAGACCGCGCACCTTAAAGGCGATATGAATCCCACATTGTTTCGCTCGGGAACCACCGCAATGCTCACACAGCATAGCGAGGTATCGAGTAGTGTAGCCTACTCTTGATGAAGGACCTCCCTACCGCGCACAGACGGACACATACACACACACGCACTCAATCAGTCCTGCACACGTACACACGCGTATACACACGCAAGCACGGCCATTCTTCATACGATGACCGTTCGGAGCTTACATGGATACCCTAGACTGTGGCAGCAGACGGTGCCAATAGGAGACGTCGTCTCAGTAGGACGCAATCAAGTATCCCACAGCTGTGGGATACCAGCGTCGGCATGGGAGGTACGCTGCTGTGTCGGTACATCTTTCGCAGCGCCAACAGGGAAAGAAAAGGGCCGGAGCAAACAAGCGTGGAGGTGTGATTTGGTAGAGTGGTGGGCTGTGTCGTGTGAGTACGTAAATTGGTATGGTGTAGAGCAAGCTTGTGGGAGAGCCTGTGTCGCGCTGGAGGGGGTCAGCGTGGTGGCAGTGGTGCGGCGTGCGTGCGAGGGTGTTCGTTCTGTGTAGTAGTAGTGTTGTTTTGTGTTCCTGGGTGGGTGTTGTTTTGTGGTGTTAGTGTAATTTTTATCGTCAGTGTGCCCGAGCGGTCTAAGGGGGTAGACTCAAGTTCTACTGTGTTCGCACTCGTGGGTTCAAATCCCACCGCTGACAAGTCTAGTCCGTTTCCTGGAGCCTGTGCGTTTCGCCTCGACTCGCTGCGTCAGTATTCGTGCTGCGTCACTATTTGTCGTTTATGGACGGCTACTTTTGCACGGGCTTCCTTCCTTCCCACGAAGCTTTATCCGTTTCCGCCGCGCTCTCAGCCTTCTCCTGTATCTGGTCTTGTGTCCTGCTCGATCCCGCGCTTTGCCCGCGCGAGGGCAGCAACGCACACACCAAACCTGGACCCAGCCACGAGTACCAGTACTTGGTGCGTGGACAGTCTGGCTATCATTCCTACAAGTCAAGTCAAGCAGTTGACGGTTTGACCTTCCAGGCTGTGAGACCGCGCACCTTAAAGGCGATATGAATCCCACATTGTTTCGCTCGGGAACCACCGCAATGCTCACACAGCATAGCGAGGTATCGAGTAGTGTAGCCTACTCTTGATGAAGGACCTCCCTACCGCGCACAGACGGACACATACACACACACGCACTCAATCTGTCCTGCACACGTACACACACGTACACACACGCAAGCACGGCCATTCTTCATACGATGACCGTTCGGAGCTTACATGGATACCCTAGACTGTGGCAGCAGACGGTGCCAATAGGAGACGTCGTCTCAGTAGGACGCAATCAAGTATCCCACAGCTGTGGGATACCAGCGTCGGCATGGGAGGTACGCTGCTGTGTCGGTACATCTTTCGCAGCGCCAACAGGGAAAGAAAAGGGCCGGAGCAAACAAGCGTGGAGGTGTGATTTGGTAGAGTGGTGGGCTGTGTCGTGTGAGTACGTAAATTGGTATGGTGTAGAGCAAGCTCGTGGGAGAGCCTGTGTCGCGCTGGAGGGGGTCAGCGTGGTGGCAGTGGTGCGGCGTGCGTGCGAGGGTGTTCGTTCTGTGTAGTAGTAGTGTTGTTTTGTGTTCCTGGGTGGGTGTTGTTTTGTGGTGTTAGTGTAATTTTTATCGTCAGTGTGCCCGAGCGGTCTAAGGGGGTAGACTCAAGTTCTACTGTGTTCGCACTCGTGGGTTCAAATCCCACCGCTGACAAGTCTAGTCCGTTTCCTGGAGCCTGTGCGTTTCGCCTCGACTCGCTGCGTCAGTATTCGTGCTGCGTCACTATTTGTCGTTTATGGACGGCTACTTTTGCACGGGCTTCCTTCCTTCCCACGAAGCTTTATCCGTTTCCGCCGCGCTCTCAGCCTTCTCCTGTATCTGGTCTTGTGTCCTGCTCGATCCCGCGCTTTGCCCGCGCGAGGGCAGCAACGCACACACCAAACCTGGACCCAGCCACGAGTACCAGTACTTGGTGCGTGGACAGTCTGGCTATCATTCCTATAAGTCAAGCCAAGCAGTTGACGGTTTGACCTTCCAGGCTGTGAGACCGCGCACCTTAAAGGCGATATGAATCCCACATTGTTTCGCTCGGGAACCACCGCAATGCTCACACAGCATAGCGAGGTATCGAGTAGTGTAGCCTACTCTTGATGAAGGACCTCCCTACCGCGCACAGACGGACACATACACACACACGCACTCAATCTGTCCTGCACACGTACACACACGTACACACACGCAAGCACGGCCATTCTTCATACGATGACCGTTCGGAGCTTACATGGATACCCTAGACTGTGGCAGCAGACGGTGCCAATAGGAGACGTCGTCTCAGTAGGACGCAATCAAGTATCCCACAGCTGTGGGATACCAGCGTCGGCATGGGAGGTACGCTGCTGTGTCGGTACATCTTTCGCAGCGCCAACAGGGAAAGAAAAGGGCCGGAGCAAACAAGCGTGGAGGTGTGATTTGGTAGAGTGGTGGGCTGTGTCGTGTGAGTACGTAAATTGGTATGGTGTAGAGCAAGCTTGTGGGAGAGCCTGTGTCGCGCTGGAGGGGGTCAGCATGGTGGCAGTGGTGCGGCGTGCGTGCGAGGGTGTTCGTTCTGTGTAGTAGTAGTGTTGTTTTGTGTTCCTGGGTGGGTGTTGTTTTGTGGTGTTAGTGTAATTTTTATCGTCAGTGTGCCCGAGCGGTCTAAGGGGGTAGACTCAAGTTCTACTGTGTTCGCACTCGTGGGTTCAAATCCCACCGCTGACAAGTCTAGTCCGTTTCCTGGAGCCTGTGCGTTTCGCCTCGACTCGCTGCGTCAGTATTCGTGCTGCGTCACTATTTGTCGTTTATGGACGGCTACTTTTGCACGGGCTTCCTTCCTTCCCACGAAGCTTTATCCGTTTCCGCCGCGCTCTCAGCCTTCTCCTGTATCTGGTCTTGTGTCCTGCTCGATCCCGCGCTTTGCCCGCGCGAGGGCAGCAACGCACAGACCAAACCTGGACCCAGCCACGAGTACCAGTACTTGGTGCGTGGACAGTCTGGCTATCATTCCTACAAGTCAAGCCAAGCAGTTGACGGTTTGACCTTCCAGGCTGTGAGACCGCGCACCTTAAAGGCGATATGAATCCCACATTGTTTCGCTCGGGAACCACCGCAATGCTCACACAGCATAGCGAGGTATCGAGTAGTATAGCCTACTCTTGATGAAGGACCTCCCTACCGCGCACAGACGGACACACACACACACACGCACTCAATCAGTCCTGCACACGTACACACACGTACACACACGCAAGCACGGCCATTCTTCATACGATGACCGTTCGGAGCTTACATGGATACCCTAGACTGTGGCAGCAGACGGTGCCAATAGGAGACGTCGTCTCAGTAGGACGCAATCAAGTATCCCACAGCTGTGGGATACCAGCGTCGGCATGGGAGGTACGCTGCTGTGTCGGTACATCTTTCGCAGCGCCAACAGGGAAAGAAAAGGGCCGGAGCAAACAAGCGTGGAGGTGTGATTTGGTAGAGTGGTGGGCTGTGTCGTGTGAGTGCGTAAATTGGTATGGTGTAGAGCAAGCTTGTGGGAGAGCCTGTGTCGCGCTGGAGGAGATCAGCGTGGTGGCAGTGGTGCGGCGTGCGTGCGAGGGTGTTCGTTCTGTGTAGTAGTAGTGTTGTTTTGTGTTCCTGGGTGGGTGTTGTTTTGTGGTGTTAGTGTAATTTTTATCGTCAGTGTGCCCGAGCGGTCTAAGGGGGTAGACTCAAGTTCTACTGTGTTCGCACTCGTGGGTTCAAATCCCACCGCTGACAAGTCTAGTCCGTTTCCTGGAGCCTGTGCGTTTCGCCTCGACTCGCTGCGTCAGTATTCGTGCTGCGTCACTATTTGTCGTTTATGGACGGCTACTTTTGCACGGGCTTCCTTCCTTCCCACGAAGCTTTATCCGTTTCCGCCGCGCTCTCAGCCTTCTCCTGTATCTGGTCTTGTGTCCTGCTCGATCCCGCGCTTTGCCCGCGCGAGGGCAGCAACGCACAGACCAAACCTGGACCCAGCCACGAGTACCAGTACTTGGTGCGTGGACAGTCTGGCTATCATTCCTACAAGTCAAGCCAAGCAGTTGACGGTTTGACCTTCCAGGCTGTGAGACCGCGCACCTTAAAGGCGATATGAATCCCACATTGTTTCGCTCGGGAACCACCGCAATGCTCACACAGCATAGCGAGGTATCGAGTAGTATAGCCTACTCTTGATGAAGGACCTCCCTACCGCGCACAGACGGACACACACACACACACGCACTCAATCAGTCCTGCACACGTACACACACGTACACACACGCAAGCACGGCCATTCTTCATACGATGACCGTTCGGAGCTTACATGGATACCCTAGACTGTGGCAGCAGACGGTGCCAATAGGAGACGTCGTCTCAGTAGGACGCAATCAAGTATCCCACAGCTGTGGGATACCAGCGTCGGCATGGGAGGTACGCTGCTGTGTCGGTACATCTTTCGCAGCGCCAACAGGGAAAGAAAAGGGCCGGAGCAAACAAGCGTGGAGGTGTGATTTGGTAGAGTGGTGGGCTGTGTCGTGTGAGTACGTAAATTGGTATGGTGTAGAGCAAGCTTGTGGGAGAGCCTGTGTCGCGCTGGAGGGGGTCAGCATGGTGGCAGTGGTGCGGCGTGCGTGCGAGGGTGTTCGTTCTGTGTAGTAGTAGTGTTGTTTTGTGTTCCTGGGTGGGTGTTGTTTTGTGGTGTTAGTGTAATTTTTATCGTCAGTGTGCCCGAGCGGTCTAAGGGGGTAGACTCAAGTTCTACTGTGTTCGCACTCGTGGGTTCAAATCCCACCGCTGACAAGTCTAGTCCGTTTCCTGGAGCCTGTGCGTTTCGCCTCGACTCGCTGCGTCAGTATTCGTGCTGCGTCACTATTTGTCGTTTATGGACGGCTACTTTTGCACGGGCTTCCTTCCTTCCCACGAAGCTTTATCCGTTTCCGCCGCGCTCTCAGCCTTCTCCTGTATCTGGTCTTGTGTCCTGCTCGATCCCGCGCTTTGCCCGCGCGAGGGCAGCAACGCACACACCAAACCTGGACCCAGCCACGAGTACCAGTACTTGGTGCGTGGACAGTCTGGCTATCATTCCTACAAGTCAAGTCAAGCAGTTGACGGTTTGACCTTCCAGGCTGTGAGACCGCGCACCTTAAAGGCGATATGAATCCCACATTGTTTCGCTCGGGAACCACCGCAATGCTCACACAGCATAGCGAGGTATCGAGTAGTGTAGCCTACTCTTGATAAAGGACCTCCCTACCGCGCACAGACGGACACATACACACACACGCACTCAATCAGTCCTGCACACGTACACACGCGTATACACACGCAAGCACGGCCATTCTTCATACGATGACCGTTCGGAGCTTACATGGATACCCTAGACTGTGGCAGCAGACGGTGCCAATAGGAGACGTCGTCTCAGTAGGACGCAATCAAGTATCCCACAGCTGTGGGATACCAGCGTCGGCATGGGAGGTACGCTGCTGTGTCGGTACATCTTTCGCAGCGCCAACAGGGAAAGAAAAGGGCCGGAGCAAACAAGCGTGGAGGTGTGATTTGGTAGAGTGGTGGGCTGTGTCGTGTGAGTACGTAAATTGGTATGGTGTAGAGCAAGCTTGTGGGAGAGCCTGTGTCGCGCTGGAGGGGGTCAGCGTGGTGGCAGTGGTGCGGCGTGCGTGCGAGGGTGTTCGTTCTGTGTAGTAGTAGTGTTGTTTTGTGTTCCTGGGTGGGTGTTGTTTTGTGGTGTTAGTGTAATTTTTATCGTCAGTGTGCCCGAGCGGTCTAAGGGGGTAGACTCAAGTTCTACTGTGTTCGCACTCGTGGGTTCAAATCCCACCGCTGACAAGTCTAGTCCGTTTCCTGGAGCCTGTGCGTTTCGCCTCGACTCGCTGCGTCAGTATTCGTGCTGCGTCACTATTTGTCGTTTATGGACGGCTACTTTTGCACGGGCTTCCTTCCTTCCCACGAAGCTTTATCCGTTTCCGCCGCGCTCTCAGCCTTCTCCTGTATCTGGTCTTGTGTCCTGCTCGATCCCGCGCTTTGCCCGCGCGAGGGCAGCAACGCACAGACCAAACCTGGACCCAGCCACGAGTACCAGTACTTGGTGCGTGGACAGTCTGGCTATCATTCCTACAAGTCAAGCCAAGCAGTTGACGGTTTGACCTTCCAGGCTGTGAGACCGCGCACCTTAAAGGCGATATGAATCCCACATTGTTTCGCTCGGGAACCACCGCAATGCTCACACAGCATAGCGAGGTATCGAGTAGTGTAGCCTACTCTTGATGAAGGACCTCCCTACCGCGCACAGACGGACACATACACACACACGCACTCAATCAGTCCTGCACACGTACACACGCGTATACACACGCAAGCACGGCCATTCTTCATACGATGACCGTTCGGAGCTTACATGGATACCCTAGACTGTGGCAGCAGACGGTGCCAATAGGAGACGTCGTCTCAGTAGGACGCAATCAAGTATCCCACAGCTGTGGGATACCAGCGTCGGCATGGGAGGTACGCTGCTGTGTCGGTACATCTTTCGCAGCGCCAACAGGGAAAGAAAAGGGCCGGAGCAAACAAGCGTGGAGGTGTGATTTGGTAGAGTGGTGGGCTGTGTCGTGTGAGTACGTAAATTGGTATGGTGTAGAGCAAGCTTGTGGGAGAGCCTGTGTCGCGCTGGAGGAGATCAGCGTGGTGGCAGTGGTGCGGCGTGCGTGCGAGGGTGTTCGTTCTGTGTAGTAGTAGTGTTGTTTTGTGTTCCTGGGTGGGTGTTGTTTTGTGGTGTTAGTGTAATTTTTATCGTCAGTGTGCCCGAGCGGTCTAAGGGGGTAGACTCAAGTTCTACTGTGTTCGCACTCGTGGGTTCAAATCCCACCGCTGACAAGTCTAGTCCGTTTCCTGGAGCCTGTGCGTTTCGCCTCGACTCGCTGCGTCAGTATTCGTGCTGCGTCACTATTTGTCGTTTATGGACGGCTACTTTTGCACGGGCTTCCTTCCTTCCCACGAAGCTTTATCCGTTTCCGCCGCGCTCTCAGCCTTCTCCTGTATCTGGTCTTGTGTCCTGCTCGATCCCGCGCTTTGCCCGCGCGAGGGCAGCAACGCACAGACCAAACCTGGACCCAGCCACGAGTACCAGTACTTGGTGCGTGGACAGTCTGGCTATCATTCCTACAAGTCAAGCCAAGCAGTTGACGGTTTGACCTTCCAGGCTGTGAGACCGCGCACCTTAAAGGCGATATGAATCCCACATTGTTTCGCTCGGGAACCACCGCAATGCTCACACAGCATAGCGAGGTATCGAGTAGTGTAGCCTACTCTTGATGAAGGACCTCCCTACCGCGCACAGACGGACACATACACACACACGCACTCAATCTGTCCTGCACACGTACACACACGTACACACACGCAAGCACGGCCATTCTTCATACGATGACCGTTCGGAGCTTACATGGATACCCTAGACTGTGGCAGCAGACGGTGCCAATAGGAGACGTCGTCTCAGTAGGACGCAATCAAGTATCCCACAGCTGTGGGATACCAGCGTCGGCATGGGAGGTACGCTGCTGTGTCGGTACATCTTTCGCAGCGCCAACAGGGAAAGAAAAGGGCCGGAGCAAACAAGCGTGGAGGTGTGATTTGGTAGAGTGGTGGGCTGTGTCGTGTGAGTACGTAAATTGGTATGGTGTAGAGCAAGCTTGTGGGAGAGCCTGTGTCGCGCTGGAGGAGATCAGCGTGGTGGCAGTGGTGCGGCGTGCGTGCGAGGGTGTTCGTTCTGTGTAGTAGTAGTGTTGTTTTGTGTTCCTGGGTGGGTGTTGTTTTGTGGTGTTAGTGTAATTTTTATCGTCAGTGTGCCCGAGCGGTCTAAGGGGGTAGACTCAAGTTCTACTGTGTTCGCACTCGTGGGTTCAAATCCCACCGCTGACAAGTCTAGTCCGTTTCCTGGAGCCTGTGCGTTTCGCCTCGACTCGCTGCGTCAGTATTCGTGCTGCGTCACTATTTGTCGTTTATGGACGGCTACTTTTGCACGGGCTTCCTTCCTTCCCACGAAGCTTTATCCGTTTCCGCCGCGCTCTCAGCCTTCTCCTGTATCTGGTCTTGTGTCCTGCTCGATCCCGCGCTTTGCCCGCGCGAGGGCAGCAACGCACACACCAAACCTGGACCCAGCCACGAGTACCAGTACTTGGTGCGTGGACAGTCTGGCTATCATTCCTACAAGTCAAGCCAAGCAGTTGACGGTTTGACCTTCCAGGCTGTGAGACCGCGCACCTTAAAGGCGATATGAATCCCACATTGTTTCGCTCGGGAACCACCGCAATGCTCACACAGCATAGCGAGGTATCGAGTAGTGTAGCCTACTCTTGATGAAGGACCTCCCTACCGCGCACAGACGGACACATACACACACACGCACTCAATCTGTCCTGCACACGTACACACACGTACACACACGCAAGCACGGCCATTCTTCATACGATGACCGTTCGGAGCTTACATGGATACCCTAGACTGTGGCAGCAGACGGTGCCAATAGGAGACGTCGTCTCAGTAGGACGCAATCAAGTATCCCACAGCTGTGGGATACCAGCGTCGGCATGGGAGGTACGCTGCTGTGTCGGTACATCTTTCGCAGCGCCAACAGGGAAAGAAAAGGGCCGGAGCAAACAAGCGTGGAGGTGTGATTTGGTAGAGTGGTGGGCTGTGTCGTGTGAGTACGTAAATTGGTATGGTGTAGAGCAAGCTTGTGGGAGAGCCTGTGTCGCGCTGGAGGGGGTCAGCATGGTGGCAGTGGTGCGGCGTGCGTGCGAGGGTGTTCGTTCTGTGTAGTAGTAGTGTTGTTTTGTGTTCCTGGGTGGGTGTTGTTTTGTGGTGTTAGTGTAATTTTTATCGTCAGTGTGCCCGAGCGGTCTAAGGGGGTAGACTCAAGTTCTACTGTGTTCGCACTCGTGGGTTCAAATCCCACCGCTGACAAGTCTAGTCCGTTTCCTGGAGCCTGTGCGTTTCGCCTCGACTCGCTGCGTCAGTATTCGTGCTGCGTCACTATTTGTCGTTTATGGACGGCTACTTTTGCACGGGCTTCCTTCCTTCCCACGAAGCTTTATCCGTTTCCGCCGCGCTCTCAGCCTTCTCCTGTATCTGGTCTTGTGTCCTGCTCGATCCCGCGCTTTGCCCGCGCGAGGGCAGCAACGCACAGACCAAACCTGGACCCAGCCACGAGTACCAGTACTTGGTGCGTGGACAGTCTGGCTATCATTCCTACAAGTCAAGCCAAGCAGTTGACGGTTTGACCTTCCAGGCTGTGAGACCGCGCACCTTAAAGGCGATATGAATCCCACATTGTTTCGCTCGGGAACCACCGCAATGCTCACACAGCATAGCGAGGTATCGAGTAGTGTAGCCTACTCTTGATGAAGGACCTCCCTACCGCGCACAGACGGACACATACACACACACGCACTCAATCAGTCCTGCACACGTACACACACGTACACACACGCAAGCACGGCCATTCTTCATACGATGACCGTTCGGAGCTTACATGGATACCCTAGACTGTGGCAGCAGACGGTGCCAATAGGAGACGTCGTCTCAGTAGGACGCAATCAAGTATCCCACAGCTGTGGGATACCAGCGTCGGCATGGGAGGTACGCTGCTGTGTCGGTACATCTTTCGCAGCGCCAACAGGGAAAGAAAAGGGCCGGAGCAAACAAGCGTGGAGGTGTGATTTGGTAGAGTGGTGGGCTGTGTCGTGTGAGTGCGTAAATTGGTATGGTGTAGAGCAAGCTTGTGGGAGAGCCTGTGTCGCGCTGGAGGAGATCAGCGTGGTGGCAGTGGTGCGGCGTGCGTGCGAGGGTGTTCGTTCTGTGTAGTAGTAGTGTTGTTTTGTGTTCCTGGGTGGGTGTTGTTTTGTGGTGTTAGTGTAATTTTTATCGTCAGTGTGCCCGAGCGGTCTAAGGGGGTAGACTCAAGTTCTACTGTGTTCGCACTCGTGGGTTCAAATCCCACCGCTGACAAGTCTAGTCCGTTTCCTGGAGCCTGTGCGTTTCGCCTCGACTCGCTGCGTCAGTATTCGTGCTGCGTCACTATTTGTCGTTTATGGACGGCTACTTTTGCACGGGCTTCCTTCCTTCCCACGAAGCTTTATCCGTTTCCGCCGCGCTCTCAGCCTTCTCCTGTATCTGGTCTTGTGTCCTGCTCGATCCCGCGCTTTGCCCGCGCGAGGGCAGCAACGCACAGACCAAACCTGGACCCAGCCACGAGTACCAGTACTTGGTGCGTGGACAGTCTGGCTATCATTCCTACAAGTCAAGCCAAGCAGTTGACGGTTTGACCTTCCAGGCTGTGAGACCGCGCACCTTAAAGGCGATATGAATCCCACATTGTTTCGCTCGGGAACCACCGCAATGCTCACACAGCATAGCGAGGTATCGAGTAGTATAGCCTACTCTTGATGAAGGACCTCCCTACCGCGCACAGACGGACACATACACACACACGCACTCAATCAGTCCTGCACACGTACACACACGTACACACACGCAAGCACGGCCATTCTTCATACGATGACCGTTCGGAGCTTACATGGATACCCTAGACTGTGGCAGCAGACGGTGCCAATAGGAGACGTCGTCTCAGTAGGACGCAATCAAGTATCCCACAGCTGTGGGATACCAGCGTCGGCATGGGAGGTACGCTGCTGTGTCGGTACATCTTTCGCAGCGCCAACAGGGAAAGAAAAGGGCCGGAGCAAACAAGCGTGGAGGTGTGATTTGGTAGAGTGGTGGGCTGTGTCGTGTGAGTGCGTAAATTGGTATGGTGTAGAGCAAGCTTGTGGGAGAGCCTGTGTCGCGCTGGAGGAGATCAGCGTGGTGGCAGTGGTGCGGCGTGCGTGCGAGGGTGTTCGTTCTGTGTAGTAGTAGTGTTGTTTTGTGTTCCTGGGTGGGTGTTGTTTTGTGGTGTTAGTGTAATTTTTATCGTCAGTGTGCCCGAGCGGTCTAAGGGGGTAGACTCAAGTTCTACTGTGTTCGCACTCGTGGGTTCAAATCCCACCGCTGACAAGTCTAGTCCGTTTCCTGGAGCCTGTGCGTTTCGCCTCGACTCGCTGCGTCAGTATTCGTGCTGCGTCACTATTTGTCGTTTATGGACGGCTACTTTTGCACGGGCTTCCTTCCTTCCCACGAAGCTTTATCCGTTTCCGCCGCGCTCTCAGCCTTCTCCTGTATCTGGTCTTGTGTCCTGCTCGATCCCGCGCCTTGCCCGCGCGAGGGCAGCAACGCACAGACCAAACCTGGACCCAGCCACGAGTACCAGTACTTGGTGCGTGGACAGTCTGGCTGTAATGGGCCTACCTTGGCTCACTACTACGGCTTACACGTATGCGCACGTGTATGAGGAAGCGTAGGTTTGTTTTACTTGAGTTAAGTATACTCGAGATCCACGAGTATACTTTAAACAAGATAAAGACTCCAAGTAGCGGGTTTTGGTAAAAGATGAGAACTGCTATTTTTGTTTTATGTTTCTGACTTCCTCTAAATGTAATATTCTAAACTAGGAATCTGCCAACGGCTGGTTGGCAGGATTCTGCTAACATGCAAGGCACTCATTGGCTAAAAGATGCTGCTTTCAGCCAATAGGAATCCTAAATGTGTATGGACCACCCGTCGTGGTGGTCGTAAGTGTATGTAGCCATTGGTGTACCTTACACCAAGGTCGAGGAAGTGTTCAAACCTCTAATAGACATCGCATCTGTTAGAGTAACAAGTGACTGCAGCCACTTGTGCGTGTAACCCCGTTACACCATCCCCCCGTCAACCACCATTGACCGCTTGGTCAATGCGTGACGTTGAAGAGAGCGCGCTCGTAATGGAACGAGCGCGTCGAAGTTGAAGACCGCTGGCGCAGCAGCGGAGAACCTCTCTGCTGCTGAGTAGCATGCGCGGCAACGTGCGAAGCGCGTCGCTGCCGCGGGGGCAGGACCCACAGCCTGCCCTTGAAGTGGCTTCGGGCGCTGTTGTTAACAACAGCGCTCGTATCACTTTCCAGCGTGTAGCGCATGGTGGGCTTCGTACGCCCTCACCATGTCCGGGACGTCTTCGAGCAAGACGTTCCGCGGCTCGCATGTATCTTGGTTGGGAGGGAATCCTCTCCAACGGATACGAAAACGAACTGATTGCCTGTTCGTTCTCGGGATACTGTGACCAACAATCCGCTCAACTATCCATCGAGTTGAGCCGTGTGCGTCACGAATTGGCGGCGGTGGTGGTGGAAACACGCCTCGTGTGTGGTCAACTAGGTGTTGACCCTGATCTCGCGACTCCCCACGACCGAGTTCCGGTCGTGGAGTAGTTCCAGAGCGCTGGTTTCGGCCCTCTGAAGTATCCTCAGGTTGCGGCGGCCTCCCAGGCCGCCTCGATCGTTCCGGCCGAGCTGGACCATCAGCTCGACCCGCTGCTCCAGCGCGACTTCGCGCTGGTGAGGATGACGGCTTCCGCCGAGTCTTCTGCTTCGGTTCAGCCGAGCTAGGTAGCTCGTACTGCAGGTATGGCTTCAGCCGTCCGACGTAGAACGTCGGATGGAGGCGCATACTAGACGGTATGTCCAGTGTGTAGGCGTTGCCGTGCCGTGCCAGCACAGTGAACGGCCCGATGAAGCGCGGAGCGAGCTTGCTCGCCCCGAAGTCGGAAACAGCATGTTTAGGCAGGTTTTGAGTAGCTAACAAAACCAATGAACCCTTCTTGAATTCATTTGTGTTGCCCCTGCCAACGTTGTCTGCGTTCAGCTTCTGTCGATCAACAGAAGCTGCAATAGCGTCTTGGACAAACCGAATGACGGCTTGTCTGCGCTGCAAGAAGTTGATTGCGTCCGAGCTGAACTCGTTCAGCTCGTTTCCAGCAGTAGGACCGGCCTCTGCGTTCGTCTTCGCGGTGTCTGTGCCCTGCACAGACCCGTTCTTCTTCTTCTTCTTCTTCTTCTTCTTCTTCTTCTTCTTCTTCTTCTTCTTCTTCTTCTTCTTCTTGCTCTTGTCGACGTCTGTGCCCTGCACAGACGCGTGCTTCTTCTTCTTGCGCGCAGTCGCGGCTGACACTGTGCAAGTGTCAGCGGCATTCTGCGGCTGCTGTGTTGCAGTCGTAGATCCTCCCCCACTTAAGGAAGGAGCCACCATCCCGAGTAGACTCGGGAGGCGTGGGTGCCTCATGGCATTCACGTAGAACGGTGTATGCCCGGTCGAGGCATGCACCGAGTTGTTGATGGCGAACTCCGCCATCGGCAGGCACTCGCTCCAGTGTTGGAACGAGTGAGCGTAGCTCTTAAGCACGTCTACGAGCACGCGGTTCACGCGCTCGGTCTGCCCGTCCGTCTGCGGATGGTCCGCAGTCGACATCGAAAGTTGACCCCCAAGAAGTGTAAATACTTCTTGCCAAAGGTGTGCAGTGAAGCGCGGGTCCCGATCCGACACAATGTCGATCGGCATGCCATGGTGTTTGAAAACCATGTCAACGAACAGACGCGCCGTCTGCTTCGCAGTCACTTCAGCGGGTACCGCAGCAAGATGTACCATCTTGCTGAAGCGGTCAACAAAGACCACAACGCCCGTGTTCCTCTGGCTGTCCGGGGGAAGACCGAACACGAAGTCCAAAGACATGGACTGCCAACACTCCGACGGAGTCGGTAGTGACTGCAAGGGAGCCTGCGCCAAAGGCGCAGGCTTCACATGTTGACAAACCTCGCAAGCACGGACGTACTTGCGCACCCATTTGTACTGGTGGGCCCAGTAGAAGTCTCGCGTGAGAAGAAGGTATGTCTTCTCACGGCCCGGATGCCCCGCAGTCGGTGCATCGTGATACTCGTACATGATCCTGAGTCGCAGGTCATGGTCATTGGGCACGACAACGCGGTCCGCGTTGTCGTCGACTGCACTGTAGAGTAATAACCCGTCGTGCACCTGGTAACGGTGTGCACGAGCACGAAGATGCTTCGGCAGCTTCTGACGAGCTTGATCAGAAGGCGCTGAGCCGTAGGCCAGCAAGAGCTTCGCGTCCGCGTCGTGCGCGTACGCGACCTTCACGTCGTCCAACAGTGACGACGTCGGGGTGCTCGATCGCATGGCGTCAATGGCATTGACGTCGGCATCAGTCGTGGCGTAGTCAGGTCGACGCGAGAGCGCGTCGGCCACCACATTGAGTATTCCGGGTTTGTACTCAACCCGGAAGTTATACTCTGCGAAGAATGAGAGCCATCTCGCCATCCGTTGCGAGATGTGCGGCGACTTCACAGCCGTCCGCAGTGACGCGTGGTCCGTATAGACCACGAACGGTTTGCTTCCGAGTAGATACACTCGGAACTTCGCGAGTGCGTACTTCATGGCAAGGAGTTCCTTGTCATGCACCGGGTAGTTGCGCTCAGCTGGCTTCAGCTGACGCGATTGGTAGTAGACGTCACGATCACGGCCCTCGTGATCGTGCTGCATCAACGCACATCCAATTGCGAAGTCGGATGCGTCACACAACGTGGAATGGGCGATCTTGGTCGGCCACCGCCAAGATCGGCGCCTCAGTCAAGCCCCGCTTGACTGCATCGAAGGCCTGCTGACACTCAGCAGTCCAAATCCACTCGGCGTCCTTCTTCAGGAGCTGTGACAGCGGGCGTATCATGCCCGCGTAGCCCTTCACGTACTTGCACAAGTACGTGGCCAAGCCAAGGAACTGCCGCAGTTCCTTGACGTTCGACGGCGTCGGCCACTCATTGGTCACTCTGACCTTCTCAGGGTCTGGGCGGACACCGTTCTTCCCAACGAGACACCCGAGCACGGGTATCTCGCTCGCCCCGAAGATACACTTCTTTAGGTTCGCATAGAGCTTGTGCTTGCGCATGAGCGCAAGCAGCTTCCGGAGATGCACCTTGTGCATCTCAACATCGCTCATCCCGTCCGCAGTCCGGCTGTGGACGAACACATCGTCGAAGTAGCTCGGTGCAAAGTCGCGCACCGAGCGCAACAAGTGCGTCACGCACCTGTTGAAGGTCGCAGGGGCGTTCTTCAGACCCTGCGGCATCACGAAACTCAGGGAAACGCGCCTCAAGACGTCGTTGCAGGACCAGAGATTCAGGAGTATCGCTGATCTAGAGTACGCTCTGGAACAGGACGAAGAGGTCTGGGCTCGCAGCGACCATGATGCTCCGCCACCCAGAGTTCGTGACTTTCGTGCCGACAACATGCTTCAGGGGCGTTTCAAGCCGAAGCGTGCAGGACGTGCGTACGTGACTAGAGGCAATGTCTCTGACTCTGAGTCGGATGAAGACCCTGAAATTCACGCGCGTTTCAAGGAAATCACGGACGAACCTAGAGTTTCAGCCCGAAGTGCGAGCGCGAATTCAGGGTCAACTCGTGAGATCTCTGGAGAAGAAGCTTCTATGCCTAGCGCTGGGAGTTTGGCGAGTATGAAGGGTGCCGAGTGGACTCAGACGCTGACGAACGAGGTCTGTCGCGTGATGGATAACATGGGATGGCGTCCACCGAACGCTCAACCAGGACCGAACGCGAACT